CCTCACTCTCGCCCAAGGCCAGTGACCTCACATCAAATTGAGGGTAGATTAGTGAAACCTAATACTCTCTAGGACTATAAAGAGATTACTCGCACATAAATCTTCACCAAAAAAAAAAAAAATCTGCGTTAGTATTTATTTACATGCATCTTATTTTTCAATGAGAAAACAAGCCTCCCTTTTTTTCCTGCATCAATAAAAGTCTCTTCAAAATTCTGATTGCTTAGATTTGGCATGTAAAATCCACTGTACTACAGGTAACCTACGTTCTTGTAAAAGCTCGTATTTTAGAACAGGGCTCAGCCAGCTTTTCCATTTCTAGATATCAATTACACAGGCAAGATATGTGCTTTACTCTCACTGACAAGAGTGTTTTATGTATAAACATCTTGACCAGCACTGTGTTGTCAGTGGATAGCAGATTCGGTGTGTTTTGGCTGAATTTCTGAAGGGGGAAACTGTGACTTGCACTCTAAATATTTTTTCTGGAGAATGGATTCCTCAGCACACTATGAGCATCTTGTACAGAATACAAGTAAACATTTGGGAAGGAATTTCATGCTTATGGCAGGTACTGACTTGCCAGCCTTGAAACTGAGCTCCCTGGAACCCAGGGCATGAGCACAGCTCTGGCTCTGTGAGCTCCACAGGTCAGCTGAGTTCCCATCACTCCTGCTGCACCAGCGAGGGAAGAACCATCGAATCCCAGAATGGATTGGTTTGGGAAGGACCATAAAAATCAGCTAGTACCATCCCCCTGTCATGGGCAGGGGCACCTTCCACCAGCCCAGGTTGCTCCAAGCCCCGTCCAACCTGGTCTTGGACACTCCCAGGGATGGGGCAGCCACAGCTTCTCTGGGCAACCTGTGCCAGGGCCTCTCCTCCCTCACAGCCAAGAATTTCTTCCTAATACCTAACCTAATCCTGTTCTCTGTCAGTCTAAAGCCATTCCCTCTTGTTCTGTCACCCCAGGCCCTTATAAACAGTCTCTCTCCATGTTTCTGGTTGGCTCCCTTCAGGTACTGGAAGGCCACAGTTAGGTCACCCTGAAGCTTTCCGTTCTCCAGGCTGAACAATCCCAATTTCCCAATTCTCTCAGCCTTCCCTCCCAGCAGAGCTGCTCCATCCCTCTCATCATCTTGGTGGCCTCCTCCAGACTGGCTCCAACAGCTCCATGTCCTTCCTGTGCAGGGCACACAGCGGGACCTACATTCTGGCAAGTTTATTCATACATCCTGGGCAAGCTGTGATTGGGAGCACAGTTTGATCACGTCGGTACTTTACCTCAAAGGTAAAATGTTCTGAGGTGGTGGTGGTGTAAGAATTTTAGTTAATTTGTATTAATACTGGGAGAATTTCGGTTAATGCACGTAAGTAATTTGGAATTGCTGCTCCTTTTTCCTTATTTCCAGAGTGCTGCAAGAGCCTCTGCTGCAGTTGGACAGCTGGATCCCAGATGTGAACAGCCAGGTCAGGGTTTGGGTCCAGGAATAGGAGATGATGCTTTTGACACGTGGGAGGGCAGGGAAGGCCTTTGAGAACATTATTAACATTACTTCACATTTCTACAGTGCTTTGCCTGCGCCTGCTTAAAGCTCCACATAGACTATGAGTAATTAGTGATCTGGATGTCTCTGAAATGATGATCAGCAGCATTTAAATCATCATTAAAATACAATTAGCAGCCCTTTGAACGGAATGCTGTCATTCCGAGCAGCCTAATTGGTGGCTCGTGGGCCAGTTCTGGACAACAAGAGAATTGTCTGCTTCTCCTCTCCTCTAACTGCACCAGCTCAAGGAGCACCCTGTCCCAGGAGGGGCAGCCGTGCCCATGGGATGGACATGGAGAGCCACACTATGTGACAGGAAAGGCACAAAGTATCCCTTGTGCCCAGCCCACTGCTTCAAGAAGTCTGAGTTTTGTGGACCTCATTTTATCCTGTGTGCTGATTCAAGCAGGCACAGCCCCACAACTTTATACTTTGCAATTCAAATCCTTTTTTTTTTTTTTTTTTTTTTTTTTTTTTTTTTTTTTTTTTTTTTTTTTTTTTTTTTTTTTTTTTTTTTTTTTTTTTTTTTTTTTTTTTTTTTTTTTTTTTTTTTTTTTTTTTAATACTTAGATTTTAGACTGTGCAGCAAGAGCTATAAGGATGAAACAAGGGCAGTTCATGACAAGACAAATAACTGAGCGATCCACATCTCTGGGTGATGTGCTGGCAGACCAGACTGGAGTGTGATTGGGCAAGAGAAAGAATTCAGTTGCTGTAACAGACTGATAGTGAAGGTCTGGCTTGCATGGTGCTCCCAAACCTGGCATCCCTACTGCACATTTAGGTAGCTAAATCTGTCACTTCCCTGCCGGAGATGCTTGTGTTAATTGCATAAACGCCAACAAAAATGACATGTTTTTAAAGTGTTGGAAGTGTAAATAGCTGCTCTTCTGAAATGGCCTCAGTTTATATATTTTAGCTCAGACGTGCCCTCGTGATACCACTTGCATCTTATCTGTTATAGCATCTAGCTGTAGTATTCTATCAGTATCTCTGTTATAGTAACTAGCTGTAGTATTCTATCAGTATCTGTTTGTAATACTACTGATGCTCCTGCAAAAAAAAGCACTGCAGAATGTACTTTAAATACTGGCTTTTTGTACGTCTCACACAACCATTCATCCCTCCAGGGGAACAGCACGCTACTGTTCCAGGTTTTCGAAGAACCAGCGCTGCTGCTCCCCACCAGCTCCCCTTGCCTGCTTCATAATGCCCTTATTATTTATGCGTTTTTCTCTTGAAAATTCAAGTTTAGAGCCGAAAATTTTCACGCTTTTGTTCCTTGCAGCGAATCAAAGGCAGCGAGTGGCCCTGATGTAATCTGTGTGGTGTGTGCCGCGGCCGAGCATCCACCGCTGTGAAAGCGCTGCTTGTTCTCTGAAAGGAGGAATTCTTTCAGCCGTCGTCACGGCCCCCTCCTCCGCCTGCCTGCTTTTCCCAGGCACTCCGAGAGGACTCGCTCCCGGTCTTTTGCTTGCCCTAAAAATGTGCTGGAGCAACACAGTCATTTACCCCACCAGGCTGAACTCCTGATGGCTTGGGTGATCTGCGGGTGATCAAAAGTTTCAAGTTTGAGAGTAGCAGGGGGTCTACTGAGGTGTGACATCTTTTTAATCATCTTTTCTTTGGATTGGTAGTCCAATAGTAGCCCAACTCATCTCCACATGGGCACCACAGCAGGCTATCAGAGAAGTTCTTTTCTCTTCCTCTGCTGTTCCTGCAGTAGGCGACGTGCTTTCACATACGTCCTGTCTACAAAATGTCAGTGTTGGCCTGGCATGTTTTACTATGATTTGAGTGGCCTAAAGAAATTACTTGGAAAGCAGCAGATGCCTTAAGAAAAGAGGGAAAGAGGGAAAAAAAAAAAAAAAAAAAGACTCAAAGAGGAGGAGAAAAAGGAGGCTCGGGGAACCTTATTGCTCTCTACAGCTATCTGAAAGGAGGTGGGTGTCGGGCTCTTCTTCCAGGTAACATGCAATAGGTCAAGGGGAAATGGCCTCAAGTTGTGCCAAGGATGCTCTAAGTTGGATGTGAGGAAAAATTTCATCACCAGAAGAGTAGTTCAGCATTGGAACAGGTTCTCCAGGGAAGTGGTGGAGTCACCATCCCTGGAAGTGTTTTAAAAAAAACAATGCAGATGTGGCACTTGGCATGTGATTTAGCGGCCTTGGTGGGATTTGGCTGAAGGGTTGGACTTGGTGATCTTGAAGGTCTTTTCCAATTGCAGTGATCCTATGATTCTATGATATTAACAAGTCAACTGGCCCAAGGAAATAGAAGTGCAACTCAGTGATGGTTGCCAACAAGTAATCCTGTAAAACCCACCCAGGAAGATGACGCAGCTCCTCATGATCCTGCTCCTGCGGTGTTCCATCTTCTCTCCCCCTCTCTGCATTCCCCATTCCATATAAGAAATGTGCATTGCTGCCCAGTTCATTCAGATACAAGGCTCCCTAAATCAGCTTTTTTCAAGCACAAAATATACGTATTGTCTCAGGAGGAACAAGAGACCAGATAGTCAAAAACGGTGCTCCAGGGGAGTTGATCACCCGTGTTTCACACAGGTAATTGTTAACAACACCCAGATAACTGCCTGTGGGATAAGGGGCAGCACACCAAACCCAGCCTATGAGCCACAACAGGAGAAAGTATTACAAGATGCTCATAGCTGAATTAAGATGCCAAAAGAAAGTCCCAAATAATATGAAGACACTGAAAAAAGAGTCTTTGTTCCAGCACCGGTGTCTTTGCTGGGCTCCTGCCGCCAGGCATTTGGATCAACCTCCCTTAAGTGTACAGAAAACACATGGAATATGTGACAAGTCAGGAGGATTTAGCAACTTTGGGAAAGAGTAACAGTTCTTAAATACCTCACTGCAATTAACCAAGGGCCAGAAATGTGAGAAAATCTCTGAAGAATTAATCAGGAATCAACAGCAGTTTGTCTTGACAGCAAAGGCGGACGGATGAAATCAAACAGCTCCCCCCCAAAATGGCTGCTGAGTAAGAGTAAAAAACATAACAAGGAAGAGCACGCTCTGGATAAATCGATATTTTGTTGAGGAAAATAAAAAAGCAAATGCCAGTAGGAAGGGAAAAAAAAAAAAAAAAAGAAAAAAGCATGTTTCCTGTCTGGTCACCACCAGGCACACATTGGCCTGCGAGGGCAGGGAGAGCAGCCCTGGCTTAGAGGGGCAAAGAAGGAATAGGATTGACTCTTGACTTTCACCAGACACTAAAGGTCCCTTAGGCCAGTTGGTACAAGAGAATGAAACAACAAGACCTGAGTGGACTGCTAGACTGTGTCCAGAGAAGGGCAATGGAGTTGGGGAAGGGCCTGGAGCACCAGGAGTGGCTGAGGGAGCTGGGGGGACTCAGCCTGGACAAAAAGAGGCTCAAGGGGGACCTTCCTGCTCTCTCCAACTCTCTGACAGGAGAGGAAAGATTGACTTTCGCTAACAGAGGAACCAACTGATAACGTTCAACTCTGCTCTTGCCCTGACATGGTTATTCGTTAGTTCTTCCTAATGACTGTTCAGTTCCTTCCTTCTCGGGAGCCACTCCTAATTCTCTTCTGTTCAGGTTGGATAATGAGTCACTGACTTTAATACGAATCACTGTTAACCCTTCCCTTACACAACCAACATCTGGGAACAGTGAAATATGTTGTGTCTCAGTGCTGAGGGAGAAGATTAATGATTCCTGCAGGCTTTCTGCTGCTGGTTGATGAAAAAACACCTTGTTTGCCTTGTGCCTTTGATTAATTGCTCTCTAAGTCTGGCCTAGTCTACCTGCCTCCCAAAGTAATTTTGTTTTCCATAAATTTCACTTCTTTTCCATTGTCATTGTCTGGCCAAAGTTTTAGTTTGTGTCAAATAACTTCTGGAATCACCTTGTTCGCCATTGTGCTTTTCCTCTCTCTATTCTCTGGGGAGGGAGGGTCATGTTTGTGCCTGGGCAGTTCCACTGAGTCTTCCTGACTCCATGGGAAGAGTCAGGATGGTAACAGCCAGGCTTCTGGTGGCACATGTTCTGGGCTAGTTTCCTTCTTAAACAACAACAAAACAAAACAAAACAAACAAACAAACAAAAAAACACAAGTAAATTTATCATCTTCCATTTACAGATGATGTGCCATTCCTAAGGCTACTGAGCCTAAAGATCCTGTGAGACTATTAACAACAGATATTGAATTCTTCTTGACTCAGCTACTGCTCACTTACAGTTTAGGGAACGGCCTGTTTGTGATCAGACTTCGCACTGTTAGAGCATTGAATATGTGTAGGCCTGTCAGATCACCTGCTTTTCAGGCACCTAATGTATGGCAATACTTGCTGTTTTGACCAAATTTTGGTCCTTTTGGGGATATTTGGATTTCTAAAGTTCTTTCTTCTTGATCCAGTTTCCTTCTATTAGCACTGCTGACCTACTATCATGTTTGGTGTGTCCTTCAAAGTGTTCTACAGCGTTTTACTATTTTGATGTTATCAAAACACGCCTATGCTGATAGGAGAATCTAAGAGTTCTAAGGCAACGGTAGTCTGGAAGGAGATCAGGCTATTTCCATAGGAAACCACACTCTCAGATTACTTCAAAACCAGATTTTTAAGAAGAAACATGCACTTCCCCTGATTACTTCCACAGCTTTTTTCAGTGTTCTTTATTCCACTATCCTGCTGCTGCACCAGTCGGCCTCAGATGTGCATCCCTGGCGCCCGCGAGCGAGCCAGCCCACTCCTGCTGCACCAGCTATTCCCTGCTGGGAATATTTACTGTGGGTGCCAATCCAGCCTGACTGAAACCTCATTAACAATACGCTTTTTCCTGATTAATAAAATATTAATGTGAACATACAGCATCAGCAGCTTGACATTTTCTGTAGTTTTCCAACACCTGCACAGCACAGAACTGCTCGGGCGCTGTGATATTACCGCAGTGACAAACTTGCAGGCAACTTCTGATGCTTGGGGACAGTCCTCATCTTGGTCTTTTAAAAAATAATTTAATCTGGTAAAACTGAAGACAGATAACTCCTCACTGCCTGAGCAGCAAACAGTAGGTTTCTTGCCCAATAATCAATATTTATGCTCATTTATGGGTTTCTTCCCCAACAATTGATACTTATGCTCATTTACCAGTCGTGGCAGCAGTGCAAGCAGATACTTTAAACCTGTCTAAGGTGGGAAAGGCAATCAAAATCATTCAGGGAAATGATTGTCCCTTTCTACTCTGCACTGGTGTGGCCCCACCTTGAGTCTTGTGCATGGTTTTAGGTGCCAAAATACAGGAAGGATCTAAAGCTATTAGAGAGTGTCCAAAGGAGGGCAACAAAGATGGTGAAGGATCTGGAGGGGCCACAGGAGGAGCAGCTGAGGGCACTTGGTTTGTTCAGTCTGGAGGAGACAGGTCACACCTCACAGAGGTCTGCAGTTTCCTCACGAGGGGCAGTGGAGGGTCAGCTCTGTGTGAGCAGGGACAGCACCCAGGGAATAGCTGGAGCTGGGTCAGGGCAGGTTTAGGGTATCAGGGAAAGGTTCTTCCCCCGGAGGGTGGTTGGGTGCTGAACAGGCTCCCCAGGGCAGTGGGCACAGCCCCAAGGCTGCCAGAGCTCCAGGAGGGTTTGGACAACGCTCTCAGGGATAGGGTGGGATTGCTGGCATGTCCCGTGCAGCGCCAGGAGCTGGACTGGATGATCCCCGCGGGTCCCTTCCAGCTCAGGATATTCTACGATCTGGAAGCTTTCCCAGCAGCAGCGAAGGCTCGGCGGGTGAGGCCGGGCCAGGCCGGCACATTCACCGGTCACTGCCGGGTCTGTGCGCAGGGGAAGGCGCTGTGCCCAGGCCGGGCGCGGCCCCGGACCCGACCCGATGCGGGGGCGCTTCTGCCGCCCCGGCACGGCCGGGGGTCTCCGAGTAACAGGTGCCCTGGAGCGCCGCTCCCCCGGGCCGGGCCTGCCGCGGGGCTGAGGGGAGCGCCACTGCCCGGGAAGGCCCGGCGGCACCGCGGGGTCTGCACCGGTGCTACCGGTGCTGGTGCTGCCGCTGCCGCTGCCGCCGCCGCCGCTCCCGCCCCCGGCCCCCTCCCCTTCCCCGCCACTCGCTTCCGCCGCGCTCCCGCGCATGCCCGGGTTATGCAACGGCCGCGGCGGGCGGGCCGGGCCGGGCAGAGCCGCAGGGCAGGGCAGGGGGGCCGTGAGGGGCTGCGGGCACCGGGCACGGGCGGCGGCGCCGAGGCCGCTCCGCTTCCCCGCGCCGCGCTCCCGCCGCGGCCCCGCGCGGTGTGTGAGTGGCAGCGGCGCGGCCGCCAAGTCCCGCCCGTTCCGCTCTCGCTGCCGCAGGCGGCGGCAGCGGCGGGTTGGCTTCCTGCGCGCCCGGCCGCTCCCCCGCCCCCCGGCAGTCGGAGCCGCAGCCGCCCGGATCCCCGAGCCATGGCTCTGTGAGCGCAGCACATGGCGGCCGCGGCAGCCATGAGCCCCCCACTAATCCATACAACTCCCCCTTGATCGGCCACCGACGGCAGCCAGCGCTCCCACCCGGCTCCACCGCTCCCACCGCCCGCCTGCCGCCGCCGCGCCGCCCGGCCCGAGCCCAGACCCCGCTGCCGCCGCCGCCGCCACTGCCGGGCCCCCGCTCGCCTGCCCGCCGCCGCCGCCCGGTCCTCACCATGGGAGTGCAGGGATTCCAGGACTACATCGAGAAGCACTGCCCCAGCGCCGTGGTGCCCGTCGAGCTGCAGAAGCTGGCGCGGGGCAGCCTCGTGGGTGGGGGCCGCCAGCGGCCCCCCCAGACCCCGCTGCGCCTCCTCATCGACGCCGACAACTGCCTGCACCGGCTCTACGGCGGCTTCTACACGGACTGGGTGAGCGGTGGGCAGTGGAACCACATGCTGGGCTACCTGGCGGCCCTGGCCAAGGCCTGCTTCAACGGGAACATCGAGCTCTTCGTCTTCTTCAACGGCGCCCTGGAGAAGGCCCGGCTGCACGAGTGGGTGAAGCGCCAGGGCAACGAGCGCCAGACGGCGCAGCAGATCGTCAGCCACGTCCAGAACAAGGGCACCCCGCCGCCCAAGGTCTGGTTCCTGCCGCCCGTCTGCATGGCGCACTGCATCCGCCTGGCCCTCATCCGCTTCCACATCAAGGTGAGGAGGAGCCCGGGGGTCCCGGCGCCCCCTCCCCGCCGCTTCCCCCCCCCCGGCCGCTCCAAGATGGCAGCGGGGGCTGCCCGCGGGGGAGCGGGGGGGCACCGTCCGCCGCTCCCCTCAGCGCCTCAAAATGTCGCCCGGACCCGTGGGGGCGGCACAACTTTCGGCGGCCTCAATCCCCGGGGTATTCCGGCCGATTTCCAGGGCGCTGCCCGCCGCCCCGCCGAGGCCGGAGGCCGGGAGGCCCCGGCGGGGCGAGCGGCAGCGCCCATGGCCCGGCCCGGCCCGGCCCGGCAGCAGGGCGGCTTCTGCCTCCATGTTCTTTCGCTCCCTTGACTCAAAATGTCCCTTCTTGCCTTGTGGGCTGTGGTACCGCAGGGGAGAGCGGGTGGGCGAAAAGCATCTCTGTAGTTAATTATTGAGAGTGTGGGGGGGAAAAAATAATTAATCAGTTTAGTTCTCGCGCAGGGTGGATCTGCAACAAGTTCCCGGCCAAGGCGAGGTGTTTAAACTTGGGCTGGAGGGGAAATGGCTCGCTGCGAAAAGCACAGAGGTGCAGTTTCGGCTTTATGGAGGGTTTTGTGTTTTGCTCGGTGTTTTCCCGGTATCAACAAGCGTTTCAAATCAGGCGTAGAATAACTCTCACCTCACTCCATAGCAGCAACACTTCCAGTCAGTGCGATCAGCAGCGCCGAGCTGACAGTCCTTCATTTAAACTTCTCGTTTTAAGAGGCAGCCCCAGTTTTCCGGCCCCACAAACAGCCCTTCGTGCCGGATCTGGGCTCCATGACCATCTTGCACTGGAAGGCCACGATTTCAAAGGTTGCAGGATATGACCACGTTGCATCTCTCTGCACGGCGTTCCTGATTTACGATGGTTTCTGTTCAGCCGAGCGATTGTGTATATTGAAACACAAGACGCTGGAAAAACAAGCCCGGGGATGAAGCTGCAGTTTTAGGAGTTGCCTGCTCGCCTTCCCGCTGGGGAGGGAAGAGCAGTGGGAGGGAAGCACATACTTGTAGGCTTTATTATCCTAAATTACTTTAGTGTGTAGAAAAATATTATGTAACCTTCGGAGTTGCACGCTCGATCACTAGCAGCAGCTTAATGTTATTTGGCCTTCTGCCGGATTAGAAACGCTCTGGCCGGGCTGCAGCCCTGGGGTACAGATGCCTCTCTGCGAGCAGCTCGCCCCAGAGGTGACTTTGGGTGAAGTTTCTCCTAGTTCTGCCAACGGGGCGGGAGCTGCTGTTGCTCCCTCGTAGTTCCCTGCTCGCGGGGCCGGGCCCATCCATGGAGGAACTCGGGGCTGGAGTGCAGCCACCCCGGGCTGGCAGCGGGTGTTGGGCAGTGGAAGTCCCACCCTGTTGCCAGGATTGGGTCACCGGGCCGGGGCCACGGCGCGTGTGGAACGAACTGGAAGCGGAGGCGAAGCTCGCAGGGCCCGTCGAGCTGTGCTGAGGGCCTGGCCTTGGTTAAAGTGAGGGGGTGATGGCCGTGTCTGCTGCAGTCGTGTGTTTCCCTGGCCAGCCTAGGAGCAGGATTGTGTTACGGTGTTTTGGATGGTGGGAATTTGCACGACAGCGGAAACATCCTGTCGTTTGAACTTTTTGTGATTTTTTTTGTGGCTAGGAAATACTTTTGTCCTTCGAGCAAAAAGTTTTAGGCCCCATGTGGTGAAGGTCTTTACCTTGATCTGTTTGTGCATTATAAATCTGCATTATAAATATTCCTTTATTTGTTATTGAGACTTAGAGGTGATTAGTAAAAGCAATGAATGGGTTGAAATAAGGGTGTTGTTTTCTTTTAATGTGTTAAAGTGGAGACTTTGTTTAACGCTACACTGAAATGCATAGTACCTGACAGGAAGGCAGCTGGTTTGATATCAATGGGAATGTGATGTTTGTAGTAGTTTTGTAGCATGTTGAACCGGCAGTTAGTTTGCTAAACACTTTCTGTCTCAGACCTGGCTCGGGTGTCTTACATCCAAACCAAACTGCCACATTTGACAGTGGTGTCACCTGTAGCACTTTGTTTACTTTCAAGCTTAGCTGCAGCATTAGCTCCTTTATGGTTTCTTGGTAACAGGCCTTATTCCTAATCTCTGGAAGCAGCCATAGGAGTACTCATCCTACCGAGTCCCTTTTCTGGCATTAGAAAAATACCCCCAACTCCCCAAATCCCCATAAACACAACATCCTCCCAGTTTTGATGGGTATTTGTGTCAGTTTGTTGGCAGCTCATTATTACCAGGTACTGGGGGCGAGGGGGGAGAGTTTGTTGCTGTTCATACCCCTGAGCCACCACCGTGCATGTCCAAACTGTGGGTTCTCCCCACTGCTCAGCTGTCCTGGGGATGGGAAGGGTATCAGCAATTCCCGTTTGATGCCTCATTTTTTCAGTTGTTGAGAAACTCTGTGGATAAATCTGGTTTTAATGGATTCATTTTCAGGTTAGGAAGGATATTGCATGGTTATAGTGGTCACATGCATAATACACATCAAAGATACTGCTGAGCTTAAATCATGTTCCTTCCCTGCTTTTCTTCCTCTCTGACATGATTTATTATCTTTCTAAATCTGCTTTATTGCATATATCTTTCTTTCTCTAAACCTTCCTCTAGTTTTATTCTTGCTCTCACTTTGACACAGCCCTCCTGATGGGCAAAGAGCAGATGCATCTTGAAGGTGTGATTTTTTTATTTGCACGTATGGGTGATTTTAAAAATTTGCATCTGCATAAGACAGTTGTTAAATTGCAGTGTTTTCTTGCTTTGTTTTGAGAAGTTGAGTTTGAGAATACTGATTGACTTTAAATATGAAATTGATTTTCATATTTTTAGGAAGCATTTGAGTCTTGAGTAGAAGGTTTCTGTGTGAAGCTAGGAACTGCTATGAATTTAATCTATTTTAGTAATTAGAGGGGAGAAAAAGAGTAATGTCTTCCATCCAGAGCAATTATAAATCACTCACAGATGGTTTCAGCAGGATGTAAAAATAACAGGTTCCTCCAGGTTATAACAAATATCCTGCGGCTTCTTAGCTTCGTCGTGACCTGGTATTTTTCAGTTTGGGGGGAATAATTCTTTCGAGAAAACTTTTATGTGAAGTAGGTTTGCTGAAATTTAAATATTTATGCAGTGGAGATCTTAACATTAATGCTTTGGGGAGACTGTTTTGTTCTCAGTACCTAAAGGTGCTTGTGCCCGCTTACTCAGGCAGGATTCTCTCCTGAGCCAGCACTGTTAATGTTTACACAAGATTTAGACTTGAAAATGATTCCAAACTCCTGGCTGTGATTTCCCCCGTGTCCCCCCTCCCTGGGTTGGTTTTGAACCCAGGCACATTGCCTGGGTATGTCTGTGTTTGTGAGAGCCACTGGATATTTCTGACTCTTGTCTCGGTAGAGTTTTACGTTGTGGGTTAACTGCACTTTGGTAAATACAGCTCCTTTCCCTGTGCTGGATCAGTTATTTGGACGTGGATTCTGGTATTCCCTGAACAGCCAGCAGCTTCCAGCTCAGTGACACGGGGAGGGGCTTGGGGCTCTGGAGGTAGAGGAAGTAGCTCAGAGGAGATCAGAACGGGCACACCGAGCTTCCTCTTGTGTTATCTGCACCTGTGTCACACCTAGCGCTGCAGAGGGAGTTCTCACTTGCTTTTTTATAGTTCATGGGTGCTTGTCGTGCGTGCAGAGAGGTTGGGTTTTGATACATTAATAAAATTGAAATCTATCTACCCTTAATTAAAAAAACATCAGAGGGATTTTTCCAATTTAAAACCTGTGAAGACTGGGGCCTGCAGGTAGGGTGAAGCCTAAGTTGCCCTCCTTTAGTTAGGAACTATGTAAATCTGATGTCTTTAAATTCCTCCAAAGATGTTTATGGTTTCTCCCACGCCTTGTGCTGGGGACAGCATCATTGTTAGAAAATAAATACCAGTGTTTTTCTCTTGAACAAAGTAAATTTCAAAAAACACTCCGTCGAGGAACTTTCTGAAGAAGTAACATTTTCTGAAGACTACAGGGTGGTAGGATTAGGAGGAGGGAGAGCTTAGTGAGCTGGTGTTTGATCAGGAATATCACAGGCAAGGCGCTGGCTGTTCTGCTGCTCGGGATTTAGCTTGGAAGGGAACATCTCATGAAGGTGCCTGAGAGAAGCAAAATTTGACATACCTCCCTGGAATACCATAACTCAGCATCAGGTTCAAGTGCAAGGCATGAGTAGAAGAGGAAGGGTCTCTGTAAACTTGCTGTGGGTGACTGAAGAGCTGCTGGGTAGGGCTGCGGAGTTTGGGACCCTCTCTCCTGTTGTGCAGAGGATATAAATGGCCTGGCTGGCACTAAGGCTGTAGTTATTCATGCGTGCTGTGGAGACTGAGGCTAATAGTTTTGTACTGGTCTATTTTGGGATAGCTTGCTTGTCTACAGTGTTGTTCAAATGGAATACTCGGTGAGGGGAGGTTATACCAACACCCAGCTTGCAAGGGGGTTTCCAAATCGCTGAGTGTGTGTTATGTGTGGGGATGGTGGAAGCATCAGGGATCCAAAGCCCTCAGCTGGCTGGACTTGTGTGTGTGCTGCCTGGAGTTGTAGCAGTTCCTGATGGTGTGTAGGAATGCAGCACGGGCACAGACTGACCTGTCCTCATGGGGTTTTTGGTTTCAGTATAAGCTTCTTGATAAGAAAGGGTTGCTTTTGTATTTCCAACATCAGGAGTTGGCCCATGTCTCCCTGCACAACATGTCTGTTCGAGTCATCTGATTGCCGTAGCCTAAAATATGTGCTTTGCTAGGCAACAGGAATGGAGAGGTGAAGTTTGGGCTGTGAACTCAAAGCAGTTTGCCCCATCACACACAGCTGTGTGTGAAGGGATAGGCTGAAAGTGCAAAGAGGAAAAAACTTGGCTTAACACAGCAAGGTGGGCATTTGAAAGGTTGAGAAAGTTACCTCTGTTCATCCGGGATTGTGTTTGGCTCTTTTCAAATAGGGCCAAAAAAGTTTAAAAGGGATCATGGGTTTGCTTGATCCTGGGGGGCACCTTGATGTGCTGAGCTGCCGGAGAACCCCCAGCCTCAAGGCTTTCCCTGTGAGTGGGACAGACATGGTACAGTAATACCTTTAGAGTGTGAGTGTTTCTGTCATAAACGGTTCCTTCAGATGAATTCAAAGGTACAGAATCCACAGGAGTGTGTGCTGGGCTTCCAAGCACTCCCTATGTCCTGTCCACGTGTGCTGCGTCACTGGTTTGGTTTAATTACTTCAGATTTATCTCGTGTGTCTTAAATGCTCATGTATAGTTTCAGAAAGACCCGCTATATCGTGATAGTTGTGATAAATCAGTGCTGCCGTTTACACTGGAGCTAATTGCTCTGTCTTCCACTATAGGTTGCACAGAGCATTGAGGATCATCATCAAGAAGTAATTGCTTTCTGCAGAGAAAAAGGTTTCCATGGTTTGGTTGCATATGACTCCGATTATGCATTGTGCAACATCCCTTACTATTTCAGTGCCCATGCCCTAAAACTGAGCCGGAATGGGAAAAGCCTCACAACAAGCCAATACCTAATGCATGAAGTTGCCAAGCAACTGGACCTGAATCCAAATCGCTTTCCTATTTTTGCTGCTCTTTTAGGTAAGTGAAGATGCTGCTAGTCAGCCTTACGATTTCGGTGTCTGTTAACCGCTTTAAAATAACGTGTGTGTAATTTGACAGAGCACCTGGGGAAAGGCATCCCTTTGTTCCAGACATTCCTGCCGTGGACTGGGATGTGTGTTTATGAGGTCAGACATGCCCAATTTGCAGAGACCTGCGAGCGATGCAAATTGTGGCTGTCTAGAAAGAAGAGTTGAAAGTGGAGGTTTGGCAGAGCTCTGCCTGGCCAAAATGTTCTCTGTGGGTGGGGGGAAATCGGGACAGTTGTGGTTCTACTTGTTTGGGTCCTTTTCTAGACCCCCATTGAAACTAGACCCTTTTCGGGTCTAGTTTCAATGATACACTTTCCAAACTGGAACTACCCTTCTGTCCTGAATTCTACCTAAAAATAACACCTAGGGATTGAAGGTGTTTGGGTTGCAGGGCCTCTTTTTTCCCCTTTTAAATGAGTATTGGACAAATGTGGCAGCACATCAGCTGCACCAACAATATTCTGTACTGTATAATTGAGTGAAACTCCACATTTCTGAGAGCACAGGTGACTGACATTGTACTAGTCCCTTGGTTTTGTCTGGCTACTTTTCTTAGCCCTCCTGTTTCTCATGCTCAGTGGTGTGGGATCTGTGAGGAGCATAGGTGGGAATGTCTCCAGTTTAACATTTCTGCTTAAATGGAACAGTTTAACACACTCTATTTCCATAGCAGTGGTAGAGAATAACTGTTGTACTCTCTCAGATGGTGGAAGAGTGAATTACTGAAGTTGACTCCAATGAGTAAGATTTATTTGAAACAGCATTCTAACTGCTTTTTGGGAGCAGCCATGTTCTTGTCATGCTGTGCAAACAAATTAAGAAAACTGGATTTTCTTTGTTTTCTTGCTGACTTTGTGTTTCAGTGTTGGTACATGATAGAGGAATAAAACTTCTCCTTCAAAAGCTGTTGAATGAGAGAGGCTACGTGTTACTGCTTTAAAATACTACTATTTTAGTAGTCTTTAATATTTTCCAGTCCAGGCAGGCATCTTCCATGTTAAGAAGGAAAGAACCAATGGATCTGGCAGTAGAAAGCCACAAGTATTTGAGTGGTTGGAGTTGCTTTTTGTCGGTGTGTGCTTTTCCTGCCTGCACAGGTGTAGGGAGGGCAGGCAGAGGGTTGGCTGAACTGCCATTGCAGGAGTTGCATGACAGAACTGCTATTGCTTGGCTTTGTTCTGCAGTCTATAAATAAGTTGGTGCATGCCAGTTCAGTGAGTAAGAATTACTGCTGGAAAAGCAGTTTCCCGGTTGCAGATATGCTTTTTTGGGGTTCCTGGGAAGTACACAAGAATGGCATGGCTTTGATTCATCACACAGCCCCAGCTGCATGGCCTGCTGAGGCTTTGCCTGGTTGCATCAAACAATAGGTGAGAAAAAGTTCTGGTAAAGTTTCTGAAGGGTTTACAGTTTTATGCAAGAAGCTCTTGAATGTTTTTCTCTCTTGCTATCTTACATGACCAAATATTTTGGAACTTGCTCTTAGGAGAAAGAAATTTGAGGTCATTTCACGTGATAACTAGAGAGAGATTTGGGAACTTTTTCCACCCTCCCCCTCCGCCAAATTGGTACAAAGGTTAAAAAAATCCAGTTCAGCTACGAGTTTAGTTCTGGGTATTCCTTTGCATTTCTTGTGTGTGTGTGTTCAGTATGAGTAAGCAGAATAAAGTTCATGGAAGTCAGGGTTAGAACAGAAAGCTACTCCAGAGATCTTCCTGCACTTGGGGCTTTTGTGTTATTTTTATATCGAGTGGACTTTAGGAACCCTAGGTATTTGGGATAAAAAGTGATTATATAAGCTGACAACAAACAGATACAGTTTGCCTTAAAGTACTTGCAACATGTTTTCACTTTTGCAATCTTGGTAATATAGTAACATTTTTAAAAAATAAAATACTAACTGTGTATGTGCACAGAGTTGTTTAAGGTGTTTAAATTAGGGTAACTTGTTCAGATTTAAATTTTTATATTTTCGTTGAATATCTAAGGGCTTGTCTGGCTTCACAGGTTATTCTTCTCCCTCTGCTCCTGTGGCTTCTTTGGGTCTTTTTAGTCCTGATAAGTAGAATAAAGAAGTGGGAAGGAGTGAGTGAGAGTTTATGACATGAAAAGGCACATGAATTTTTTTGCTGGGTACAGCAATGTAACTCCCCATGCCAGTACTTCATGTAGGAATAAAAACTATGTACTCTGAAATAAAGACAGTTAAGATGCTGCTTTAATGTTCACAATTCCAGGAGGCCCAAACTATCACAATAGCTGTGATATCCGTGTTCAACTTCAAGGCTTCTGTTTCCCTGTATCCAGAAAACTCGAATTTCTTTGTACTCAGATATTTTCTTGTCATTAACTCCAAGGGTCAGGTTGGGGATACTGAAAGAGGGAAAACATCCTGAAAGTTTCAGCCTCACATCGAGCAGGTAGAGAAGCCTGAGGAGTGACAAAGACCTGGGCAGTTACAGAAGTGTTGTCAGTGGCAAGTGATTTGGGATTGAGCTTTTCAGGGCTAAAGTGTCTTATTGAAGTATTCCAGCAAAATATTTTTCTGACTGTACCAGCTAGACAAACTTCTAAAGCTTACTTTCTGAGCAGGTTCTGTGTACACTGTGCTTGGTTCATTTGGTTTATAGGTTTTTTTCCTTCTTCCAGCTTTTCATGCAAAGGGGTTTGTAGCTGTAGCTTTATAATATAAGGAGTATCCTTGGCATGGGAAGTTAACATGTGGTCTGGATACTGCATCCTCTGAGAGTGTGTTCTTAAAAAGTTCTGTTCTAACTGCTGCTGGTGTAAACAGGGAGCTGATTTGGGTTCTTTTGTAAATTTTAACACAAATAACTTCAGAATAATTTAAAAAAAGAAAAGCAGCCCAAGCTTCAGCAGCAGAAAAACAAACCCAGTGTGAGGTATAGGGCTGTAATTCAGTGAAGTCTTTCGAAAGGGCATTGGCTTCAATTAGTATCTAATTGCTTTTAAAAAAACTAAGGCATATACTATAATAAGCCATTAAAATGGGAAAAATCAATATATGTTGAGGTTGTTCAGCCAGGTCAAGAAATAGAGGTTGCTTATGTAACGCTGATCTCTTTCCCACTGTGACAGCACTTTGTAACGTGTTTAGTTATGGAATCTCGTTCTGTTCCTCAGTAAAATTTTAGAGCTACATAAGGTAAGTACAGGCATCACTTCTTATTTGGCCCACAAAAGACACTGCTGCACTTCAGCATCCTAAATCTCACCCTTCAGTACGGGGTGAGAGCTGATCAAACGGCGACGCTGCCTTATGTGTGTGCAGGGGGATGGAATTAACTGCCATGACAGATGGAGGCCAAACAAAATTGAGGTTTTGGTGGAAGGGAGAGGAGCAATTGCAGCATCTGTAGGAGTTTTTGTCTGTTATCACAGAGTGCTCTGGCTGCAATAGATTTTGTCAGACCTGTATTATAAAGACTAATCTTAATCTTACCTTGACTAGATTAGTGAGGGTGTGGCTGTTTTATGCAAACTTGTGGAATCTTTATGATGTGAGTTTAAAGTTTAGCTCCTAATGAATAAAAATGATAATATCTTCTTGCTGGAGATCTCAGTAGTGGGTAAAGTATTGATTGGACACAAAGACTTCTCTCTCCAAGAGGCATCACCAGGCAGGGGGCAGCTTTCCCGGCTTTCACATGCTAAAGACCACTAAGAGCAAACTAGATGTTTACAAGCAAAAAATATTAAGAAAGGAAACAATTGTTGTAATGTTCAAAGAATCTTCTGGTATTCTTTGTGAACAATGTATTCACTACTAAGTGACTGCTTTATAAAACCAGGTATAGAAAGTATCCTGAAGCTTTCTCCCAGAATTTTAAGAATACATCCTGTTTAGCTCTTTGGAAAGTTTGGATCCACAGCCACCGAACTTAAAGAGTGGTTGATTAGTTGCATCTTTGGTTAATTCAAATGTTTTAAATGTTTCTTAGAATTTTTTAGGTTTGTTGACTTGGGGTTTTTTGTTTGTTTGTTGAGTGTGATGTGCTTTAGAAAAAAAAAACACAATGTGGGTGATCTTCCATTGAACAGTGTGGTAAATACAGTCTCTGTCCATGGAAACCACTAAATGATTTCCCAGTTCCTTTGCTGCTGCCAGCCCAGGGTCCCATCTGACCTGGTCAGGTCAGCAAAAGAAACTTCAGGAATTGGGCGCCTGCTAAGTGTTGGATAAAGCTGTGTTTAGATTGTGTTGAGGGTTGGATAAAGGTGCCTGGTGCCTTGCTGCCTGACCCACGCTGCACAGGGGGCAGAGTGCAGATTCCAGAGGCAGCTCCCGTGGGGATCAGTAACGGCCCATGCTGGGATGCAGGAAGTCAGGGAGCTATAGGGTGTGTTCTTACCCTGTTGTACCTGCACCATGAAATCCTGTTGAGGATTCCCTGACAGGACACACCCCGTGAGGTGGATCCCGTGTTGTCCCTGGCTCTGCTGCTGCTCTGAGTGAGCTGCTTTCATGCAAGAGTGCTCCTCACACACAGGGAAGTGGCTCTTGCTGCAGCAGCAGAATGCTAATTAGGTTTTTCTGGAGTAGCAAAAAGCTATCTGCAAGTTTAATCTGTTAATCCTCTTGATGGGGAGTTGAGGGCTGATTGCAGATTTGTTTGCTGTACGTAGAAACTGTGTGTAACATTTTGTGGTGTACTTAAATGAGTTCTGCATTATGTTCCAGGTAATCATATTCTACCTGATGAAGATTTGGCTTCCTTTCATTGGAGTTTACTTGGTCCAGAACATCCACTAGCTTCACTTAAGGTACAATTTTAATATAACCAGGAGCAATTAAGCTAAAATCAATGCTACACATCAGAGGAGTGTGATGGGTTAGCTGAGAGCAGCTCTGCGAGGCCCCTGTGCTCGGTCACCCTCAGGTGTCCCAGTCCTGGCTTCAGAGGATACCTGGGGTCAGGAGCCTTACAAGGCTAAATTTAGCCTGTGTGATCCCCCTCAGTGCCCTTCAGCTGCACGAGCCACAGCTCCAGTGTGGTCTGGCTTGGAGAATGCAGCTTCTCGCTCTCCTCTTTCTTTAAGGGGAGAGTTTTTTGTTTAGTCATGTTCTTCAGCTACGATGTATATCTTCCTCCCATCTTGTTTTATTGTCTGCTGCTCTGAATTTGTGTGTAATAGTCAGGTTTTGGTACTTAAAGCATAAATACCCTGGAGAATATGTTGCACAAGAAAGCTGAAGTGGCTTCAGTAGTTTTGAGGGGGGTGGTTTGAGACAAGTAAGTTGTCTGATGCTCTTAGTTTACAGTATGTGTGTTCTGCTGCTTCATCACAATTGCCTTGTGCATCTGCCAAGTAAATGGCTATAAAAGGGAAACTGGACACATCAGAGAATGGGATCATAGTGACCTTTCTCTCTGCCACAACAGATGTATTTGTTTCCCTTTCTCCAAAGGTGGACCACGCAGCAAATAATCCACTTTTTGTAAATGCTGCCTGAATGTTTTGTTATCTCTACAACAAAAGTTTATTAAGCCTTGAGAAGTTGTAACTTGTTTGGCCAAATGTAGAGTTTAAAACCAGATTCCAGATTTTCAGCAGAATTTTTAGGGCTTGCATGTGTATTGCCTAATGACCAGCTGTGGCATCTGATGTTACGCTCATCCCCTATTTTGCTGCCACTCCTGTGTTTAGGAAGGTAAGTGTCAGCACATTGCAGTGGCAAAACAAAACCTGCATGCATGTTTGCTGCTTCCTTGTAAAACTTGAGGTGAAAAAATGAAAGAGTGTGCCTGTGTTTTTTGTTTTTTACGAAAAAGGTTAAAATGTAGGACTTCTCAACAAGTGTGGTTGATAAACTTTCTGATGATACTTTTCTATGGTCTAGGCTGAGTAGACTTATTTGACAGAATATGACTTCAGACACTTGGACCTCCTGGAAAGCCCTCTAAATTTATACTGAATTACTTGAATGAAAATTGGGTATTTGTCATTTTTGCTTCTCGATGTACATTTTCAGTGGAAACCCCACCTGGGCTCTGTAGCTGGCATCCCAAGGAAACGCAGCGTGTTCCCCCAGAGCATCCGTCCGGCAGTTCTTCCCTGATGTATTTCATCTGTTGGACAGTATAATCAGATATGAAAGCAGTTTCCATTTGGCTGTTGGAGATTCCACGACAACAGTGCTATCAGTGCAAAGCCCCAAATAAATGCCCTGACTGAGGGAAAGGCTTGCACAACACAGGATTTGTTGAATTTCAGGGCAGCTTTGCTGCCAGTGCACAGCCCCAAGCTGGCCACAGCACCTCTGTCTGCTGCCTGGTGATGGTGTCACATGGAAGGGCATGTCTGCAGCAACCCAGTTGTCATTAGTTGCTGGTCATGGAACAACTGCTGCTTGTTTCTTTAGGTTCACAGTGCTCATGGTTTGAAATGATAACTTCTTTCAGGAGCTCAGTATTTGAGTTTAATTTCAGTTGACACACTAGTATGTCAGTGCTGTCATCACAGTTCTCTGTAGGGGTCTCTTCACCCTAGATGTACGCAGAGCAATATTTCTTGTAAATTTTATGAATGCTTAAAAAAACCTCTTAAGACATTTGTATCAGCCACAAGGCTGATAGCAGAGAGTAGTTTCGGAACAGTGCAAGCCTTCATGAAAACTGGGAATGGGGGGAAGTTGTTGTGTTTCCCCAGGATGTCCTTCCTGGGCTGTGCTTACAAACTTTGCTTTGTTGTGTCTATTTAGAGTTACAAGGGGGTGTTCTCCGTGCTTGGGAACCAAGGGCTCAGATCCCACACCTCATTCAACTCAGGATTTAGAAAGCTTTTTCTCGTTCAGTAAAGATTTTAATCTTTTGTCTCTAGGACAGTGTGGTCTTGAGAATCAAAGCTGACAGGTTCCATTCCAGTGGCTAAATTTGTTGCTTTTCAGGGAGAGCTGTGGCAGTCAATAATACACAATTTATTTCCTGCATTCTCTCTCAATCTTTTATTATACTTTACCAAAATATTACTTTTCTTACGAGTGAAGCTTTGTCAGTTCACCAGCGAAAAAGTGTAACTTAGAAAAGAAAGAACCAGCTTTGCTGATAGAAATTGCTGTGTCTGCTCAGGTATCACCATGGGGAGGGGAGAAAAAGCAAACCTGAGGAGCCCCTGCCTCTGTTTTAAAGAGGGACACGAGGTGGGGGTTGTTCATCCAGGAACAGCTGAGTAGAGGTGGGAAAAAGGAAGGGAAGTGGAAACCTGACTGAAGAATCCATACTTCACATCTGGAAGGAAATGAACCGAACAATCTCTGTGTGCTGCATGAAAAGCCTTTCAGGAGACACCGACAATTACCATCAGCTCAGCAGAACTGTGAAGGTTCCACAGCCAGATTTAAATGAAGAGATATGAATTGCTGTTGCTGCAAAAGGGAGAAGGAATCAAACACATCCCTGTGAGCTGTTCTGAGTCAGGCTCTCATCTGTCCAAATGTCCCTGTGGAAACAGATAATGCATCTAATAAATGTGCAGACCTGGGCTTGTGTCCTGTCACCCGCCTGAGAGCAGAGTTCACTGAAATGACCACCCCAGTCAGGGGTTTGAAACAAGAAAGGAGTTGGTTGACTTCCTGAGAGATCAACTGACCTTGTTTGGAAGCCAGCATTATCCTGCTTTTTGTTTGTGTGCTTTGGGGTTTATCTTTTAAGACAAAGACAGTTTGGTTCTTATTCTGGGAAAGCTGGTTACAGTATGGAGCTTCAAGATCAATGAACAGTACTGTCAGAATGAGATTGGGAGGGCAGTTTCTTACCTCTGGAATGAATTAGTGCCTGTTTGGGAGTACAGACCACTGAAGAAGTGCTGACTCTTCATTCACAAGGTAACCTTAGAAACAAGGCTTAATGCGGTCTCCCTTTGTGAGTAAGGAGAGTATGCAGGGAAACTCCATCTCCTTGGTTGTTCCATCTCAGTGGAGAGGGAAGGAGAGATGCTTCCAGAAAGCAATCCGAAATACGCAGATTAGGCTCCTTCTCTGAATCGCTGTAGGAAATTCCTGTCTTACTCAGGTTGTTGACTTCAGAGGGTGTCTGCCAGAGGGACTAAGGTGAGAAGTAGATGCTTAGGTAATTTGCTGCTGCTCAGATAACAAAGGTGGTACTATTAAGATACACTTCAAGTAAGTGCCTTGTTGTTTGTGGGTTTTTTTTGATGCTAAGGGTCATCATAAAGCAGGTCAGAAAGGACCTCAGGAAGTGACCTGGTCCAACCTCCTGTGAAAAGTGGTCAGCTTGAGGTCGGAGCAGGTTGCTCAGGGCATTGCCTAGACCAGTCTTGGAAATCTCTGAGGTTGGAAGCTGCACAACCTGTCTGGGCAGCCTGCCCTGTGGTTTGACAGTCCCGACGGTGAAGATGCTTTGCCTGGTGTTTAGTCTGAGCCCATCTTGTTTCAGGCTATGTCTGGTGTCTCTTGCTCTTACACAACGCACTGCTGTGAAGATTTGGCTCTGTGTGCTCAGTCACCTTTCTGTGGGGACTGGAAGGCTGTATCTTCAAAGCCTTGTCTTTGCCAGGCTGAATGAGCCCCATTCCCCCCTTCTTGCAGAGCAACTGCTCCCAACTCCCTGACAATCTGGAGGCTTTCTGCAGAACCAGCTCAGCTGTTCTGACACCTGGCTGGAGCCCCAGCTGGGATGCAGTGCTCTGGAGGTGACCTGAGAGCAGGATCCCTGGATCTGCCACCGTGCTGCTGCTGCACAGCCCAGGGTGCACCTTGCTGGCTCCTGCTCCAGCTGCTGCCGCCTTCCAGGAGCCCCAGGTCCCTCTGGCACAGCTCCAGCCTGTGGAGCAGCCAGGTTTATTCCTGCCCAGGTGCAAGGCTTCGTTTCTGTGGCTGTAGCATTTCTGAGGGCTCTGTTGGTCCCTCCCTCTGGCTTGTCAGGGTGTCTTGGATGGCAGCCCAGCCCTCGGGGTCGCGTGGCGTGCAGGGCTGTCACACAGGGCTCGGTGAAGTCTGGCTGTGTCACATCCTTGGCTTGTGCTCCTGCTCTCCCCTTTGCTTTCTGACATAATTCTTGTTCTCTGTTCAGGTTTGGTTTTCTCCTTGTCCTGTGTGTACAAATTGTTAGCAAACAATGCCCATGCCCTGTGAATTATTGTTACCATGCAGAAAGAGGTCAGTTTCTCAACCAGGATGGAGGGAGGAGGAGAGGGAATTTTTAACTGAATAACCTGATCTTTAGGGAAAAGCTGAGCTTTGCAGATCTGAGAGGATTTTAAGTCATCCAGGGAACTTCTTGCCTCTTCAGAAAACTTATCGTTAGATCAGATGCACTCCAAGCTCCTAAGATGAAGTATTTTTAACATTCAAAGGCTGATACAAGATCCAAACAGTTTGGTTGCCATCTCTGATAGAAACTACAAGGCAGAAATACCCAAACCCAGGCAATTTGTCGTAGTATCCTTTGTATCTTCAGCCAGCGGAAAAAAAGTGTTTCCTATGGGTTGCCTCTGAATGTTTGAGGTGTCTTTTTTTCATGGTTTGAAAATAAAATTGATCCAATTATCTGTTTCCAGCAGGCACAGCAGCAAGTGTGGTGTTGATTAGCTTCTTAAGGCTGTGCTTCCTGAAGACAGTGGGCAACTGGGGTGTTCCCAGAGCCAGGGAGCTTTTCCCAACTGTAGCTTAGGTACCTTCTACACTACCCTCCTCATCCCTTGGAGTTGTGCTTATGTGAGCCTGTTCCCTTCCAAAAAAGGGGTTTTGCAAGTTTATGTTGTCAAACCCAAGACATTTTTATCTTGCAGCTTCAGGGTTTGTAGTGTTGCTGTCTGCCTCTCATTTTGACAAATACCTCTGTAGAATTCATGGCCTTTCCCCACTTAATCTTCAGAGTGCACAAATAGGTCCCTTGTGATTTTTGTCAGTGCTCTGTCACAAACTGAAGGAGTCCTTTTACAGCTAGCAAAGAAACCAGGCCCTTTTCAGGCATCAGCTCTGCAACCTGATCACCTCCCAGTGTGGGATCCACCCCCCATATTTGCCTTACAAAACTGATTTTCCATGTTGTTCCTTGTCTGAAACTTTTCTGTAGAGCTTAAGGAAAAAAATACCTTCTAGGAAGAAATCTCTTCTAATGAGAAACTGGTAAAACATGCTGCTGCTTTTGCTCTGAAACACTTTGTGCCACACTAAAATTAAGTTTGAACCATGAACATGTGCTCTGTAACTTCTGCTGCAAGTCTGAATTTTCCCCATCCCTAATGCACAGTAAGACTTAGCCTGTATTTTAATGCACACAGGATTAGAAACATTCTTTGGGATTCAGTATAAAATCTACAGTTTGGGATTTCTGGAAAGTTCTAAAATGGATAGAAATATTTTTCTCTTTAATATCAGGAAAGTACACTTTATTTCACCACTTCCATTTTTGGCTTCTGTGTAGTGTAGGTCACGACACTCTTAGTTTTGAGGGTGTTCTCGTATCTTTGAAACAGAAGGAAAGAAAATCTAAATACCTGAAGTGTCTCTAGGTCTGTAAAACATACTTTGAGAAGGTCTCACTTCAGGAATTAAGAATATTCTCCAGTGAGGTCTTGAGGCTGTTTAGAGGCAGCTAAATGGGGGCAGTATGTGAGGTGAGTCCTTGATAGGTCACACTTGAGCTCCATATTCCCTGGGCCCGAGCTGAGTGTTAGTGCCAGACTGATGGGATGTCTTCTCTTGGTGCCAGCTTTATATGGTTTATTCAATATTGCCATCTTGGAGATGACATAAATTAAGGGGAGATTGCTTACTCCTGTCATCCTCTGTGTTCCCAAGCAGAGATTGCAGGAACACTCAGGGAGCAGCTCAGGGTTTCTGCAAGGGCTCTGCAGAGAGCACATCCAGCATGACACAGCCATGGGATGATTCAGCTGCTTTAGGGGTGGGTAATTGTTACACATACAAGGAAAATGGGCGGTGTTCAGCAGCAGACTTGGATTACCAGGGAGAAGAAAAATCTATTCCTTCTGCTTCCAAGATGGGGACAAACTGTTGTCATCATTATTTGTCACTCCTAAGTTTACATGTGAGTGCAATGTGTATTTAGTATTGTTGTGTATATTCAGAGTGCACACTACTGAAAATTTGGATTTTAGTATTTGAAATGGAAATAATTGCCCTGCCACTGACTACACTAAACAGAATTGTTCTTAACTGTTCATTCTTCACAAGGGCATGGAGTGACGGGACAAGGAGGAATGGCCTTAACTTGAAGGAGGGCAGGTTTGAGTTAGGTATTGGGAAGAAATTCTTCCCTGTGAGGGTGGGGAGGCCCTGGCACAGGTTGCCCAGAGAAGCTGTGGCTGCCCCTGGATCCCTGGAAGTGTCCAAGGCCAGGTTGGACGGGGCTTGGAGCAACCTGGGCTGGTGGAAGGTGTCCCTGTCCATGGCAGGGGTGAACTGGGTGATCCTTCAGGTCCCTTCCAACCCAAACCAGTCTGTTTCTACGTTTAATTTAGGCTTATAAAATAATGTCGTTCATCTCTAGTAGAGGGTGAGCAGGTATAGAATGAACATCCTGAGATTTGTAAAAATTAGACATTAGGAGAAGGAAATTAATAAAAATGGAAATCTGGCAAAAATTCCATAGTTTGAATATGAAGAAGGCAATCTAAGAAATTACAATCATAAGTGGATCAAATAAGGACAGGGAAGAAAATAATCACATATAGTGGACTCCATATAGAATGAAAAGGGGTTGTGGTATGGGTTTTAAACTTGAAAAGATAAAACTAATGAAGTATTAATCAGAATTTTGCACAAACACTTCTGACAAGGCTGAATTGCAGTATTTTCTAGTAAAGTATGATCCCTCTGTGTCAAATGCAGTAAGAATGTATAAAGATTTTTCTTTTTTTTTTTTTTTTGTACCTTAAAAATAGAACTGTTAAATCGTAATAACGATCTCTCGAGTCTCGAATCGCTGAATTTTGCAAATACACAGATTAAAAGATGCTAACAGCAAAAACCTAGCTGCCCCTGTAGGCACAGGCAGAGCGCTCCAGAACTGTGCAGAGGTTCCAGACAGAATTTTTAGAAAATCCTCTGGCTCCCTCTGAAATGTAGGACACGGATTTGGAGACCTCTTTTCTGCCCCTGCGAGAGGGAACGGGAGCAGGAGCTGCTGGTGGTTGAGCAGCTTTTCAGCCCCAGCTGGCAGCACCACTCCCTGCCTGGAATTCTGCAGTATTGCCAGGATGGTTCCGTGACCTGAAGTTGCTGTACCCGCTGTGGGATCACAGGGAGCATGTCAGAGCAGTGATTCCCATAATCACAGGCTGGATGATTTCTAGTTTATGTTCAGGAGGAACCAATTGAGTGTTGAGGTGGAACTCTGGTGTTTCCAGGACTGTCCAGTTGCCCTCCTTTCTCCATGTTGGCACAAGAAGAGATCAGGCCAGAGAACGAGTCTAGAACTCCCTGGAATGGCACATCCACCTGGTTGCTGAGCTGCAGGGACTTCTGTTCATAGGGACGTTGGATGTTGTCCCACAAAGTTTTTCCAGTTCTTTCTTCTTGCTACAAAGTCCTAAGTGATTCTCACCTTTTCAGTCCCATGGCCTGAGTCAGTGACCAGTGAATCGATGGGAATTCAGCATTTTCCCAATGCCTTGGGAAGGCTGGACCCTGGGTTGTGATTGGTAGATGTATCTCTGGGCCCAGGTCATAAACACTCAAGGGGAATTTTTAATTTGCATTAAAGCGCACGTTTCTCATCCACTTAAAATCGTTGGTGAATGTGGGAGGCCAGACACATCTGGAATTGGATGGTGAAACATTAGTGCTGGATATTGAAATTATTTTGTCAATGGAATTATCTTCAGAATTTCATCTGTGTCTGCGAAATAATAATCAGCCCTGTAACCATGTTGATATTGCCATCATAGCAACAAGAGAAACCCAGACATCCTTCTTGGCTGATATATAATATAAAAGAAAAATCATTTCTTGCCTGAGATGTTACACATGCTGTGAAGCTGTGTCAGTGTATTCTGCTACAGATAATGAAATGCACAAAATCTGAAAACACTAATTATTAAACTATGCAATCTTCTAATAATTTTTAGGCTCACTTCTGTAGAACCTTGAAAATAAGTTTCTTTAAATGCTCCTTTTTTTTTTTTTTCCATTCTATTTGATTTTCAAATCTTCCCTTTTCTGTGCACACAGAGATCTTCCTGTTCCCAGTGGGTCTTTCTCATCAATTCTGATATCACTTTACACTCAGAATATAAACTGTGTCAAAATATTTTCTGACATATATGTGGATGTGTGATGAAGATTATGGTGTATGATGAATGACATGCAGCCTTTTGCACTAGAGGAAATGTCCAACTGGAAAGCAGTAAAAGAATCAGCATTGTTGAACCTTGTCTGTGGTTGGAGCTGGTGTTTAACCAGCAGGTATTTACACAGAGCTGAAGTTTCACATATATATAAATATACTGTACTTGTGTGAGTCAGCACTTAAGGTGAAGCCTTAAAACCAAAGTGGAAGGCCCAAAAGTAATCAGATACTAAACCTGGCAACAGGGAATTTGTTGAATATGTTGCCAGCAGGTAAGAGCTGAGCTGTGGGCTGTGTGCTGGTGGCCCTGGTGCTCATGCTGGTGTGTTTGTTTGTGCAGGTACGTGCTCACCAGTTAGTTTTACCACCGTGTGACGTAGTGATCAAAGCCGTAGCCGACTACGTCCGTAACATTCAGGACACCACTGATTTGGATGCCATAGCAAAAGATGTTTTTCAGCATTCACAGGTAAAGTATAAAGCCAAATACGGGTTTGTTTGAGCTTTCTGATTGCTCTCTACATTTGTGTTGGAGAGTTGCATTTGATGAAAACAGGGGTTTGATCAGTCGATAACAGGAATCTGTTATGCGATGGTTTAGCTGCCCTAATTTCATGTTCCATCTTTCTGAGGGTAAAAATACTGCATTTACCACTCTCAGTGTTTTAAATTCTTGATAACTAGAGTGGTTTGTAGCCTGGCTCTGTGCACTGCCTTTAGGAATCAGCAGTACTTGAAGACTGTATGTTCAAGCCCTACGTGGATTGACATGACATGTCTTATGCTGGAGCAGTGCTGCAGTCCTGGAGGGTCCAAAGGCATTAATCCTGTGATATGGTGCATGTTAACTACTGTAAGACCTCCAGGTGACAAACCTGGATGTGCTCCTGACAGATCTTTTTTTTCTTTTCTCTTATTTTAGTCTAGAACAGATGACAAAGTTACTCGGTTTAAGAGAGCGGTTGCTTATTACTCAGCAACTAATAAACCTATGCCATTTCATCCACCACATTACCCGGGTAAGTAGTGACAGCAACCAGGCTTTTTGTTTTAACTAAAACCTGAGATAACCCTAAATCAGAAATAGCACTATTAGCAGGACTTAACAGAAATGTTCATGTCCTCTGGCAATTCTCATTGACCCTCAAAGATGAGGTTTTAGAAGGTTTCCACAGGATATGTGCTGAAGTTGTGTTCTTGCCCCAAAAAGAGGAGAACAATCTGGACTGCTTTTCCTCTTGGGAATTGCACATCCATTCTGGCATTGGGACACTTAAAAGAATGATGCTGTGAACAGCTAAGTCTGCTGTCCAGTCTCGTTCATGAGGACAGTTCCTATTTCTGGTTATTAAAAAACATATTTTCTGTTTCTCACTGGACTTGCTGCCGTGTTTTAGAAATCTCTTTATAGTCTTTGATTTTTTGATGTCATAACATACCTGCTCAAATTGCAGATACACTTGCTTGCCAGTTGTTCTGGCATTGCAGATTATTCTCAAGGCTTAAAAATTAACTGTGTGATCACAGGGTTTCCTGACCCTTTTCTTAACACTAAAATGTCACTTTAGGTGAGACTTCCTAAAGCTCTTCAGTTACCATACTGGTACAGTAATACAGATTTTTCCTGCTCGTATTTTTGGGGTGGGGTGTCTTTATTTCCATCCACAATAAAGGATGTTGAGGCTACTCCAGGTCAAATGTTCAAATGGCAGAAAGTGCCAGCATTTTGTATCTGTGTGACGTTGGTTTTGGCAGCATCTTTGTTACGACATCCCTTGGGCTTCTTTTTTCTTTTAAGCTGCCTTTGATTCCCAGATAGAATAGGAGTGTGCAGCAGTGAGAGATACAAAGACCTGAGAGGAGGTGAGACAAGTAAAACACACTTCACAAGCTGCAGAGTATTTTTACTGAGTTGCAAAAATGAATAAAACTGACTTAAAAGCATATGAGAAAACAGTAATGCTAGCGAAACAAAAATAAATAAACCCTTGAAACAAAAAGGCAAACAGAGTAACTTTTGTGTCAAATATTGAGTGTTTTCATGAGTGTTTGAGTTTTTTCCTTTTTTTTTTTTTTTTTTTTCCCCTTTTCCCCTCCTCCCCTGCAATACAGCAGCCAGACCGAATCAGTTTGGTATGCCTGGGATAGTGCCACCATATGTTCCTTCTCAGATGCTTAACATTCCACAGACCTCACTACAAGCAAAACCTGTGGTAAGTTCAGTCTCTGCCCTGCTCCCTGGGAGAGGCCTGCTGTGCTCAGCAAACTGAAATCCAGGTGGGAAAGGTGTAGCCAGCTTTTTTAGTCTGGGCAGTCACTGGTTGAATGCTAAGTGGAACTAAAGTGATGCAACAAGCTCAGATAGAACAATTTTTGTGGATGTTCAAGCTGGCTGAGTTTTAATGTGTACATTTGGAAAAGGCCACTCGGTTAAAGAATGTATTTTGTTTTGAAAGCAAAGCCTTTTTGTTGCCTTCCCTGAAGAGGTCCCTTTATTTTAGGCCCAGCAGATGTCCAATCAGGGTGGGGCCCAAGGCCAGGGTCCATACCCATACAGCCTCTCTGAGCCAGCCATCACCTTGGAAACAGGTGGAAAAAGTCTTTCTGAGCAGAACAACTACAGTAACATTCCTCACGAAGGAAAACACACACCATTATACGAACGGTCTTCTCCAATAAATCCAGCTCAGAGTGGGAGCCCCAATCATGTGGATTCAACCTATTTTCCTGCCTCTTCTACATCTTCGTCCTCCGACAATGATGAAGGCAATGGGGGTGCAGTGAAGTAAGTTTCTCATGAGGATGTTTTTTTTTTTTTTTTAACTCAGCTTCTCTTAAAATAAATTTCCTTTCAAAATCATTTACCTGTATCCTGAAAGTAAGAATCACAGAATCAATCATAGAATACCCTGAGTTGGAAGGGACCCACAAGGGTCATTGAAGTCCATCTCCTGGCCCTGCAGAAATCTGCGAATCAGTGAAATGATAGACCTTAAAAAGATAGTTTTGGGTCACTGTGACCGCAGACAAATGTGTGGTTCAGTCTTGTTGCCTTGTTCCTTAAGCAGGAATTCAAAGCCAAATAACCTTTGGTGTTTTTCCACTCCTGCCCTTATGGTTTATTGAGAGAGCAAGGTTTTGGTAAATGTCATAAAGCCTTCCAGTTCTTTACTTTGTATAAAAGAAATATTCCTACCTCACAGTATAATTCATTAAAATTTCAGTAGCTAAAAACTATGGAACTTCACTGAACTTGCAGTGTTTACACTTCTTAAATCAGGGGATAACGTGGCTTTGCAAAGAAACCTGATGTGAATGTCAGAACTTTACCATTTTGGACAGTGAATAAGAGCCCTTGTGGAGCAAAGCAGGAGTGAAGCTGGGTTTGCTCTGTTCTGCTTTACTGCACAAATATTTCTGACTGGAGCCAGGTGGGGGTCGGGCCCTGCTCCCAGGAACGAGTGACAGGACAAGAGGAAACGGCCTCAGCCTCAGGGAGAGGTTCAGATTGGATATCAGGGAAAGTTTCTTCACTGAAAGGGCTGTCCAGCCATGGCACAGACTGCTTAGGGAGGTGGTGGAACCACCATCCCTGGAGGTGTTCTGAAAACGCGTAGATGTGGCCCTTGAGGACGCGGTTTAATGGTGAAGATGGTGGTGCTGGGTTGACGGTTGGACTTGCTGATCTTAGAGGGCTTTTCCAACCTTAATGATCCTATGATTCCACAGGGTATTCTGGGTATTCAGTGATGCGTGATTGCTTGGACTTTGATTTCTGATGCATTCTATCAACTTTAAATGTTATCCTGCAAATCAAGTAGGTTTGCATAGCTTCCATGCAGTGCAGAACTGGAAATGTGCCTGTGTTAGAAAAAACAAAGTGAGGTATTTTTCAACATTTTTTGCAGTGTTCCTAATGCATTTTATGCAATAAATTCAGGCACTGAAATCTAGACAGTGTCATTTATATCACAGTTTGAAGGTCTTCTAATTGAGAGAATTCCTTGCCATAGTGACAAATATTTAAAGTTCAATCAAGAATGCTTCTTGTGTGAACATTATCTAGTCATCATAATATACAGCTTTTAAATACAATCCAAATGTTGACATGGTGTAAATGAATACATGTTGGTGTTCAGGTCTCTTTGAGACTCCTACTAAAGGACATTTCTAATAGAAAACATCCCTTAAAATCCAAATAGTTCCAGACACCAAGGATTTATCTTACTGTCTCTTAAACTGGACTTTAATATGATGTTTTTCCTTCTGTTGTCCTTCAGCCATGTCAGTGGGAACAAAATAGGCTGGGAAAAACCGGGAACCCAGTCAGAAAGTCAAACACGTGGAGAGCTGGGAGACCAAACAAAGGTATTTCCTGAAGTTGCAAACATCACAATTTGTTGTTTTATGTTAAAGCTTTACAGCAAACTTCGAGGAGGATTTTCAGTATTGATCCATAGGATTTAGTGCAAACTTTTACACTTTTTTTGGTGAATTACAAAACAACAGCTTTGAAGTCCAGGAAGAAGGACATTGTAGCATATACATAAAAATTAACCTTAAATAGGATGTGTTAGAAAATACTGGATATAAACCAGAAACAAATCAGTTACCTTGTTTGGCCCTTAGCCAACAATCTCACCCTCAGTGCTGCTCTCCAGGGTTGCAGTGGTGCATTAGTTTGATTTTTCAGGAAGGAGTGTAACTGTCTGAGTGTCCATGGGGTCAGAGTCCGTGTCCTGTAACCCACAGTGCAGTAAGCACAGCTCACACCCACATCAGTGTCAGCCACAGGCCAGTGGAAGGTGCCTTAAAGCTCAGCTGAGGAGACAAAAGTCCTTTGTGGTAGGAATTTCAGGCCGTACATGTTAAAGGAGCTCGTTGGGACCAGTTACAGTGCATTGCTGCTTACCTGGGCAAGGATGGGCTAGATAAGCCCTTGATAAAGACTTAACATTATTACATTTCTTCGAGATTTCAAACCACTGTCAAATGGAGAATACAGTGGTCTATATTTCAAGTGTGATCCGTGTTTGGAAGGAACATCCAGAGCATTTCATAGAATAACAGGAATTCCAGTAAACTTGGGCTTTGTGCTTAAAATCTCAGGCGGGTGATTTCATCCCTCAGGGGTTGGTATTTGTGCAGACCCTTCAATAAGTGTATCTGCTTGGGGATTAGTCACCGTATGCAAATGCTAATCTGACCTATTACATCCCTTTGTTCTCTGCCCTGGGCCGTTTGTGCAGCCCTGTGGGCCCCTGCCAGAGCCCAAGTGTGTCCCAGGAGGAGCAGGGGCTGGGTAGGACCCACTGCACAGCTCTGGCTGCTTGTCCTGGTAGACCCTAATCAGAGCTGTACAGGCAGTGATTAAACTTCCCAATAGATGTTTGCACACAGGCTGACTTAAGTGCATCCACTTTATTGTATAAATGCTCCTGAGCTTTACTTGCCAGTTTTTTTTATTATCAAACCATTTCTTCAGCCTTCAGTAGCAGGAGAAGACAGTTGAATCTGTTGAGCAGGACAGGAAGAATTGTGAGTACATTTTATAGATGAACTCATATTAATGACTGAAAAAAGAAACAGTACTTACTGAAGAAGTTGCCCAGAGAAGCTGGGGCTGCCCCATCCCTGGAAGTGTCCAAGGCCAGGTTGGACAGGGCTTGGAGCAACCTGGGCTAGTGGGAGATGTCCCTGCCCACGGCAGGGGGTGGAATGAGGTGGGCTTGGAATTCCCTTCCAATCTGTGATTCTATGAAGATTTCAACTGAGTGAGCTGTGTGAATTTCTGAGGTTAAGTGCTGAAAATTCAGCAGAGATCAGGCAGGTAGCAGCAATCTTGACACTCCTTTCACTTGACTTAAACTCCTTACAGTTGCCTCACAGCCTGATTCCACATGACATAGGTAAGCCCATCTCATTTGGCTGGATGCATATAACTAAAGAAAAAAATCACATTTTAACTGTGGTGGTTCCTCAGGTTGAGTGTTGGAATATCTTTGGAGCAGATCCAGAAGAAACTGGGTAGTGCAGATGTCACGTAGGGTTTCTTTATCTTCTTCCCTGCATGCCCCCAGTATCTGATAGTTCTGTAAACTTCTCACGTGCTCCAGTATTGCTGACTTATAGTTGTTCAGGTAGTAGAAGACAGGGGCAAAAATCTCTTAAATTTATAAAGAAATATTTGATACTATAACACAGATTTAATAGAGCTCTTGTGTTTATAAAACCAGCTGGTATAAGCATGTTTTGTTGGAAGTATTGTAGTTTACAGGTTTTAACCATTTAGTCATATATTTTCATTTTTATAACTGAAATGAAGTCTAGATTACCAACTGAAATGCAATCTTTTGGTAATATCCTCTTTGATTGTGTGCTTAAAATGTCATCTGAAAATAATGTTGCCCTCTCATATTTTGCTAGAGCCAGTTTTTACTACAGTACACGTTTTTGTAGAAGATTTTTGAAATCTGTATGGGATTTTTTTGATGTTTGCACGCAGGTTTTTATTTTTCACGGACCTGAAGTGAACAAACTGAGCTTGTTTGGGCCTATTTTTTATGTTACATATTCTGGGGGGTTGAATGCTTTGGCCATTTTTCTTTCAGCTTTGCTTTTCAAGTCTTAGGAGGCACGTGAACTTGTTTACACATATTGTGAAAATATGGATGACATACCAAGTGATCAAATTTCAGTCCCAAAAGTTTTTCCTATTCTTATAATAGTTTATGGCCATAAAGCTAAAAGAAACTTTCAGTTTTGAAGGCCCCAATTTTTAGGACTGAACTCTTCTTTTTTTTGGTTGTGTCTGTGAGAAATCAACATAAATCCTTAAAAAGGCTCGTTCACTGGGAAGTTTACAGTGTATTTTTATACATCAGGTTTTTTTCCCGTAAGTTTGTGAATTGCATTTCTGGAACAAGAATAAAATGCCACTTTAATCTTGTGGTCGGAAAACATTGCCATTTTCTCTTACAGTCTTGTGAGACAAAAGAGTTTAAAAACTAAACAGACCCCAACAAAACCTTTACAAGGCTTTTGAGTTCGGCCACTGTGTGTTCTAAGTGTTATCAAATGGAACTGTGTCCTTTCCCCTGCTCCATCTGGAATTGGGAGCTGAGAAGGGATGGGATGTGTTCATGGAAGTCTGGATAAATTACAGACTTTGAGACTATCAGTTCACACACTGAGTTGGGAGTATCTTGGGAATACCGAGTTTAAGAGGCCATTCACATGTCATTAAAAGGCCGTCAGTCCCCTTCTGTATTGTTAAAAATTAAAGGAAATACTAATTACCGTTACTGTTAATAAGTTAAAGCTTTACCATAATATTTATTTTCTTAGTAATTGCTGCTAGCAAACACTGGCTGAAGGTTTCTATTTTCTGAAAACCTTGCAGCCAGCTTTGGATAATGATTCTACACAGTGCGACAGCGCCATGTGAAGATTTACTGTTTTCACTGGGGGTGAGGGAGGAAATTTGCTGTTTCTCTTGGCTGATCTCCTGCTATGATTCTGGACACATCCAAAGCACTTTATTTTGTATGTTCTGTTACAGGCAGAAGGTTCCTCTAGTGCTTCTTCAGGAAGTCAGGCAGCTGATGTCAAAGGGAATCAAACCAGTAATCCACAAATCCCATGCCTGTTGTCCATGCCCACCAGAAACCACATGGATATTACTACCCCTCCATTACCTCCGGTAGCACCTGAAGTATTACGAGTGGCAGAGCACAGGCACAAGAAGGGGTTAATGTATCCCTACATCTTTCATGTCCTAACCAAGGTATGACATTTGAAAAAGAGCTACTGAGAGATAATGATTCTGTGAAGATAACTGCCCTGGTGTTCCTGGCTAAAGAGTATCAGATTTTTACGTCCTTTTTAATGCTTTGAGTTCTGGTCCCTTTTTAGTCCTTCTGTTGTTCCAATAAGTATGAGATTACTATACTTAGAAGTGTTACAAAATAATTTTTTTCCTGACTATATGTAGGTATTTTTATGTCTATAAGCGTGTGTGTATATGTCTGTGTGTGTGTGTGTTTATGAGTCCATTTCCATCTAAAAATTCCTCCGTATGTGCTTTGGTGTGTGTGCCAAGCCTTTTCTATTTTCAGCATTCAGATGTACTGAGATTGTTTTCCCTCCCAATGTGATCCCTCCCATCGCTGTTAGCTGGCCCTGAGAGGAACAGAGCAGCTCTAAGAAATCCCTTTTGTACCAGCAGCAGCAGAATAGCACTGTCCCCACTCCTGTTAACCTTTATTCACCTTAAAAATCCACTTCAGGACAATAAGGACCACAGGCAGACCTGAAGTCCATCAAACCAAAAGTTGCTGTATCAAGGCTGAGGTTTGGATTTCCTGTTTCCCCTGTGTTTGTTTTGCATCACAGCTTGTGTTGCTGCCATGTTCTGACACTTCTTTGTCAAAGAAAAGTGGAGAAGAATCAAAAGTGATCTGTGAAGACCGTCGATGCCAGTTCTGCCTCACACTTTGCATAGCCCAATATTCTTGGCACATTTAAATACTATTTGCTTTTTAATCATAGAATCACAGAGTCATTTAGGTTAGAAAAGGTCTTTAAGACCAAGTCCAGCTGTTTACCCAGCACTGCCAAGGCCACCGCTGACCCATGTCCCCAAGTGCCACTTCTACATGTCTTCTAAATCCCTCCAGGGATGGCGACTCCACCACTGCCCTGAGCATCCTGTGCCAGGGCTGGACAACCCTTTTGGTGAAAAAATTTTTATTAGTATCTAAACCTCCCTTGATGCCACCTGAGGCTGTTTCCTCTCTTCCTCTCCTTTGTTCCCTGGGAGCAGAGCCTGACCCCTGCCCCGGTTCCCCTCTCCCGTCAGGGAGTTGTAGAGTGAGAAGGTCCCCCCTGAGCCTCCTTTTCTCCACGCTGAGCCCCCCCAGCTCCCTCAGCTGCTCCTCATCAGACTTGTGTTCCAGACCCTTCCCCAGCTCCATTCCCTTCTCTGGACACTCTCCAGCCTCTCAAAGTCCTTATTGTCATGAAGGGCCCCAAAACTGCCCCCAGGATTTGAGTTGTGACCCCACCAGTGCCCAGCACAGGGGACAGTCCCTGCCCTGGGCCTGCTGCTGCTGCCCTGGGCCATGGCTGTTCAGCTGCTGTCATTCCCTGGGCCTTTTCTGCTGGGACACTTTCCAGCCGCTCTTCCCCGTGCCTGGAGCTGCAGGGGGTTGTTGTGACCTGAGCCCAGGACTGTTGAACCTTGTGGTGCAGTTATGGGGGTTCTTCAAAAATGGGCAGGTAGAGGTGTTCCAGGTTATGCTGCTTTTATGCAAAGACACCTTTCAGACATGCCTTATGCCTGAGGTTGTGTTGTCTGGGCTAAACCTGACAGTGTCCTGATGTAATCGCTCTGAGATGTCACCTTCAGGATTCCTTATTGGGATCATTTTAATGGGTTTTTTTAAGAAAAAGTAGCACAATGGAGTGTTTTCTTGTCAGTGTTGAAAATAAAGGTTAATATTTGGGGGCAGTGCAGTGAAGTCAGTCATTTTCCAAGGATATCTTAACATGGTTGGATGTGCAAGTCACAGAAAACAGTGGTGCTGCTTTTTTGAGAGAAAATGTTGGACGGTTCTTTCATGCTTTTTTTCTGAAAACATATAAAATGCTAACGTTTTATTTATGTGTATTCAAACCCATCCTTACTTAACTGGTTATTCCCAGTTAGGATTTTTTTTGACCAGGTATTCTCACAGCGTTGTTTGTTACTGTAAGTGTCCTCAGTAACGTTTCAAATCCTACACCAAAAATTCAAACTGTTGTTTTTGGACAGCACGAGTATTTTTTAAAATAACTTCCTGAAATCTGTATCAGCTTTAAATGTGCTTTGGCTGTCTAAAAGCATATTACTCTATTTCCGTGTGGGCTGTTTTTCTCTTCTAAGTGCCCATATTTGCAGATCAATATTTAGTTAATCCTCACGTGCAGATAGTCCAGACAAACAAATGTGTTTGTAATGGAGAAAAGAAAGGGGAAAGCAACGGGAATGATCAGTCAGGGCTGGGAGGAGATGAAGCAGGCTGGTGTTACCTCCCCCGAGCTGAGATCCACCTTACCGCTGGATCACATCTGCTGTGACCAGCTGAGGATGGATTTGTGAGCTGGATTGGGCTCCCCTGATAACTGAGTGCTTTTTGTTCACTGTAACATGTCATATTTCTCTGCTTTCTTTCATGCCAAAGGGTGAGATCAAAATCGCCGTTTCTATAGAAGATGAAGCCAACAAAGACCTGCCTCCTGCTGCTCTCCTGTATAGGCCAGTGCGTCAGTATGTTTACGGAGTCCTGTTTAGTTTGGCAGAAAGCAGAAAGAAAACTGAAAGGCTTGCTTTTAGAAAGAACAGACTTCCACCAGAATGTACGTACTGCAGAATCCACGCTCTTTTATTCCCCTTGCCTTTGCTGTGGTTTCCCAGCCCCTCGTGCCATGATCTGAATGGGAATCATTGCTAAGATTTCATCAGTGTGTAGCTAAGGCCAGAGGAGGGATTTCTGGCTTATTGGATCCCATGGCTGAGAGAAAAAGACGTCGCCAATTTGAAATTTTACTTGCTGTCGTAGTTTAAAAACCATAAATATCGCCATTTCTAAGCAAGCTCTGGGGTTTGGTTGTGAACATGTCTGCTCAAGCTGCTGCCAGAGCTGCAGTGAGGAACATCAGTTTGTGATGTCATTTCTGAGTGTATGGCTGGGCTGGATTTAGGAAACTTCTGTTCTCTGCACACATGTACACATCTACCTGTTTCAGAAGTGAGAGGTACACAGGTTAAGTTGTCGTACCTTCCCAAATGTATTATTAAAGGTACCCCAGGGAAATCTGCAAGTCTCTCATGCCTTTCAGGTATTGGCATATAAAAACCTGATTTAAGCCCCTCAGAAATCAGGTGTAATGCAAGCAAAGGTAGACCTGGGTAAGGACAGGCTAAACTTTTGCAAAGAGCCTTGTCAAATATCCTTTGGCTTGTTCAGAGGGGGATGAATGTTAATCATCTCAGTAGTCTGGAAGTTGTCTTTTTAAGTCTTCAGCTTCCAGGAATTACTGTCATTCCAGAAAACTCAACCTTCTTGTTCTAGAATGTTTTTCTTATGATGATGCATGCAGGGAAATGACTGAACTTTGCAGTAGCATTCAGTGCACAGCTGCAGCACAAGTATTTCTATGTAGGAGTCTGCTGTCACTTGGCTAAATTTAAGAACCAGGTATTCAGAATACATGAAATCATCATTCACAGGCTTCATTTGTAAAAGGATAAAAATAGGTATCAGTTGTAAACTTTATATCCATTCCCTGTGCTCTTTCCATCTGTAATTGTGGAATGCCTTTGTATGTTTGTAGTGAAGATGATAATCTCCCGGTGATGTTTGAAAAGCTGTTTATCTTTGCCAGTTATTATGTGGGAATCAGTATTTACCCTGCTTGAATAATACCTCAGCACACATACTCACAGACTGCTACATTCTTTAAACTCACACGGCGTAGTAGTATTTTGGGTTACGGGGTTATTTCAGGATTCCAATAGTGACGTTATTTGCATTCTTCATTTGTCCTCGTGAGACTCCTGTCCTTAAAAGTGTGTTACAGCGTTTTCGTGGTGAACTGACTGAGTGCTGGGGGTCTGCTTCAGGGTTTGTCGTGTAAACCTAGAATATCCCCAGTAGGCTAGTGGAGAAACCTAAATAATCTCTATTTTCTCTTCACGGATCCTGCTTTTCAGAGTTTATGCCCGGTTTAGGCTCAGCAAGCTGCTGCTGACTTGGTTTAGTTACGGCAGCTCCGGCAAATCTTGCTGCAGGATGCATTCAGCTACTGACCTACTTCTAGCTTGGGACTGACCAAGCTCTTAAAAAAGCCAAAAAAAAAAAAATTTGAACGCGTGCCCAAATGTTCTTTGCTTCGCTGCAAAGCTGGCAGTGGCAGGAAAGATGGATTTGGGCCACGATGCCAGCGTGGGGTGTGAAAGGGCTCTGGTGCAGGGACGTGTCTATTTTGGTCGCCTCTTTTACAAAGCATCGAGACTTGGGCAGGCTGTGCAGGATGCACGGAGAGAACGGTGTCTCAAACAGCACGAGCAGATCGATTAGCCCTCTCTTAAGTTGTCTGAGGATCCAGGCTGTAATGAACTGGTGATGCTCATTCTGCTTCAGAGTCAAAATTATTTTGCTGCACTCAGAAATGAGTACGTGCTGAAACGCAGTAATGAAGACAATTAAGAGAAAATCTAGGAATTGAGAGATGTTAAAAGAATTAAGAAATCAGTTTCTAAAGAAGTGTAAATTGTCCTTAAGGTTTATGTAGAGAGGTAATGAATATTAATATCTAAAATCCTGTCATCTTTGTTGTACAAACCATAGCACTGGCAGCTTAATAATAGTGCCTGAATAATTGGCAAGTCTATTGCATGTGAGGGTTATGTGAGGCTGTGAAAAATGCATAATAAACTGACACGTTGGGATTATTACTAAATATATAGACGGCAAAATAATGGATCTCCCATGAAACGGATCACTTCCGGTCTTCTAAACCGTTATTTTTTGTACAAAGTTGAAAAGGCAACAAGAAACAACAGAAGCAGCAGTCAGTGGGGTTCTTCAGCGATCAGTGTCTGCTAAGTGAGGGCTTTGCTGTGCACAGCCTCATCTCTGCTCCCAGAGGACAGGAGGGGCTGGGTCACAGAGTGCCTGGTTGTGTTTGGCTGCTAAGGACACGGCGCTGGCTGTGCTGCCTTTCCTGAGGAGGAGCTGGAAATTCAGGGTCTCCCTTGCTCTGCTTGACAAGCCCTGGACCAGGTTATCTCCATGTTCTGATAAGTACATATGTGTAGTGAAACCATCTGCCCTTCCTGCTCGGTGGCAAAACACACAAGCTGTCAGAGCTCCTGGTTGGATCCCGGGGTTTGTTATTTTAAGCCCAGCCACCTTGTGTTGTGCTGTTCCCCATCACAGTTGTACTCAGCCAGTGCCGGTGCTGCCAAGAGGAAAGCCGTGGCTCTTGGGCAGTAGCCCTTGTGCACAGTCAGGCGTGCTGAGCTCAAGCTGTGCTGTCAGTAAGGATTGCGAGGTTAAAAATGAGGCTTGGTAACTCTGTGTTTGCCAGCTCGGCTGCTGGTGGCACCGGGCACCTCACGGCACGGAAACTGAGCAAAGGCCAGAACCACCCAAGCTGTGCTTGGCAGCCAGAGCTCTCCCGGGGTGCTGTGGTGCCTTCAGAGCCTGTGACAGCGCTCGAGTGTTCCTCAGGCAGGTTGCTGTCCTGCAGGTTCACGCTGATGCTCGTTGCTTGGATTGGCCTTAGCGAGTCGTGAGGGCACTGTTCGAAGCAGAGTCCAGAGATGGTGTGGTGACCTGGGCCTCTGGGAGTATTGAGACCTGGTTTGGTGTGAAAAACAGTATGATCAGGACGGTGACGGGGCTGAACACACTGGTTTTAGTTGTAGCTGATGAAGTCTTGAGGACAGGCATTGCTCATGTCCCGGTGGAAGGCACGGGAGGAAGCACCACACATCCCTCTGAGGACAGAGATTCGGGCAGCTGAGGTTGCACTGAGTTTGGCAGCAGTCCCAGTACAGATTTGTCAAAGGTTTAAGAAATGCCCTGGAGAAGTAAGTAGATATGGACAAGTCCTGGATTAATCTCTTAGGTTAAATGCTAAATTTGGGTGAAGAGTACTACAGTTGCTTGTGGATGGATACAGTTGCAGTTCCTCATCCCCAGCCAGACCCCTAGACTGACCTCCATGTTAAACCATCCCACAAAAGCATGGTTACCTCTGTCCAGCTCTGGGGTCCTCAGCACAGGGAGGGCATGGACCTGCTGGAGCAAGTCCAGAGGAGGCCATGAAGGTTGTCTAAGGGCTGGAACTCCTCTGCTATAGAGACAGTCTAGGAGAGCTGTTCAGCCTGGAGAAGGAAAGGCTCCAGGGAGATCTTGGAGCCACTTCCAGTGCATAAAGAGGCTCCAGGAGAGCTGGAGAGGGACTTTGGGCAGAGACCTGGAGGGACAGGACAAGGGAGAGTGGCTTCCCACTGCCAGAGGGCAGGGTTAGATGGGATATTGGGAAGAAATTCTTCCCTGTGAGGGTGGCCCTGGCACAGGTTGCCCAGCAAAGCTGTGGCTGCCCCATCCCTGGAAGTGTCCAAGGCCAGGAGCAGCCTGGGCTAGTGGAAGGTGTAGCTGCCCATGGCAGGGAGTTGTAATGAGATTATCTTTAAGATGACCTCAAACTATTGTAGGATTCTTAGATATTATTATCATTGTTTAGCAAAACAAAAAAGCCAGTGTGGATCTCTAGCATGACCTCTGGAGGCAGCATGTGACTGAGAGCAAGCTGAGGTACTCCTGCTGTGGCCTTAACCTCACAGGCCTTGGAAGTTCTCATCCCCAGATTAAAAGCTTAGAACCAGATCTGATTGTTGAAACATAGGATAGAAAACTTGGACATAAAACATTGCCTTCTTCAAAGCTTGTGGTCTGTATGTGTTAAGTAGGAGTAAAAGAAACAGCAGTGGAACACTGGTGGTGGGCACAGTTTTGCTTTGGATATCTAAAACAATTGCAAGAGGGTTTGAAAGCCTACATAAAATACATGTTTTTATTTGTTTGTGTTTGCTGTTCCAGGGCTAAGCAAGCAGAGAAACCCAGTGATGAGCTGTACCCCAGTGACAGGGTAACTCTGCTGCCTGCTAGAGCCCATCTTCAGAGTGTGTATAAAACCTGGGAGCAACCAAAATAGAACATGATTTTGTAGTGAGGCTACCAACTAAATATATCAGAATGTTTGTTTGCATTGCTGCATGTGATCTTTGTAAAACTGCCCTGGGCTCTGTCAAGGGTAACTACAATACTAGGCTGGGTTTATTCCCGACAAGCATGAGAGAGCTTTGGGATGTCTTGGAGGTCCTTCCTTTAATCCTGACTGTCACCTCTGCCCCTGGCTATAGAGTCCCCTGTAAGGCTGCAGCCTGATTGCTGAAGGGGGCTTTGTAGCCCTCAGACCTGTGCTGGCAGCAGCAGGACACGCTCCTCGGTGTGTGCCCAGCGGATTTCCAGCAGAAAGAGCAGGCCTGTGCTCCTGCAGGGAATCTCCCCAGGCTGTAACCTGAGCCTGCGCTAACAAGCTCCTTGAATCTTTCCACACCTCATAGCTGGGCTCGGAGTTAGAAGGATGCAGACACATTGGGAGCTGTGTCAGGCTCAGGGTCGCTCCAAGGCCAAAGGTATCGTGTCTCAGCCTTGACTTGAGCTTGTGTTCTGTTCTAGTTGCCTTCTAGTGGAAAAAGGGAGATGATTTAGCAGCCACATAGAGTGAACTGCCCTTGTTCTGATGGACGTGAAAGGGAGCCCAGGCAAAACCCACTGACCTCTTCATAGAAAGCAGTGCAATGAATGGGAAGACTTCAGGAAAGTTACATTTTATAAAATGTTTAGGCAAAAAAAGCCCAAACCCGCCCATATTTGAGATCTCATTCCATTGCAGTAATTGAACGACTACAGACAGATATAATATCAGGATTAAATCTGATTCCAGTGAAATCACTAGGATCATATTGCTCTTAAAAGAGCACACGTGGAATGTATTTGTGTTTATGTATTATTTTTATCACTTTAGGCTTTTGATCCATGGCACAGATATTTTAGAGGAAAATTACATTTTCAGGTTAGAATCACAGAATGGTTTAGGTTGAAAGGGACCTTAAAGACCATCCAGTGCCAGCCCCCTGCCATGTACAGGGTCACCTTCACTAGACCAGGTTGCTTCCAGGCCCTATCCAGCACTTCCAGGGATGGGGAAATTGTGCTGTTTGCTTTAGAAGAATATATGTAGTTCCTTTATGTTGTATATTGGTTTGAAAATATTAGCATAACATTCCTGGTGAACACCTGTCTGTATGCACTGAATTTGTAAGTGATCACAATTAAAAGGTGGTTCATGCAGGGTTTGAATTACCATTTTGGCAGTATAATCCAGCACACTGGTACCTATTGCAGTCTCAGAGCGATGCTTTTCAGATCCAAATCTCCTGCATATGAAGTTTGAAATAGGTGCTGAACTATGAAATATTAACTCAGCCTGGTTTCCTTCTGCTGTTGCCTTTCTGCAGTTTCACCGGTGATAATTAAGGAATGGGCTGCTTACAAAGGCAAATCTCCTCAGACCCCTGAGCTGGTGGAAGCCCTGGCCTTCAGGGAGTGGACCTGTCCCAACCTGAAGAAGCTGTGGCTGGGCAAAGCCGTGGAAGACAAGAACCGACGGATGAGGGCGTTTCTGGCCTGTATGCGATCGGACACACCAGCAATGCTCAACCCAACTAACGTGCCCACTCATCTTATGGTGCTCTGCTGTGTGCTAAGGTCAGTGGCACCTCCAGGCAAACCAGAGCCAAGGAAAGTTTTTACTGTGGAATCTCTGGAGAAGGCATTAATTCCTGTTTGCAGCATCACTAGGAATGGGGGGGTTTGGTTTGGCTGTAGAAAAGAGTGTTGTGTAGTCACTGGTTCTGTTCAGTCTCTTGAGGATTGAAGGGAAGAGGAAAAAGATCTTGTGTTGCAAAGAGGCTGACGTAGCATTTGAATTAGTTTTCCCTTGCTATTCTCGAGGCTTCAGCTTACTGAAAAATATTATTTGGGGCCTCAGAGGCCCTCGGTGTGGGTGAAGTTGCACAGCACAAGAGGGAGTTCTTCAGAGAATAGCTGCATAGCAGCTTATCAGGATGTGAAGCTCATGTGATGATGCTCTTCTGCCTGCGTTGTGTGAGGCTCCCTGGGTTAGAATTGCTCATCCAGTTGAGGTGATGATAACCAACAGTAGAAGCGTTAGTTCTGTACTTGAGCCTTCCAAAGAGAAAGCCACAAGGTCCAAAACCCTGATGTGTTAATTTTCAGATTGAAAACTGAGGAATTGGGAGGCGCTTACCTTTGGGGTAATTATTCTGCACAACTAGCTCGTAATTCTGTCAGAATCCAAGGGTAGCACGTTGCACATGAAAAAATATAAACCATTTCTGAGAGTGATAAATGTAAATTTTGTCTTTGGTCCCACTGAACTTCATTTTGCCTTTTGAGCATCGAAACTCCTTTGTTTCTCCTTCTAGAGTAGTTAGGATGCAGAAAAAGCAGCCCAAGTGGTAAAGCCCCTCATTTCATTGGGACAGCACGTTTCTCTCCTGTCACATGTTCTGTGTATACACTGGTGATTTCTGATCACATCAAATCCTTCTTGTTTACCCAGTGAGAGGCTGCTGAGTCAGGTTGTCCTTCCCTGCAGGTACATGGTGCAGTGGCCGGGGGTTCGCATTCTGCGCCGCCAGGAACTGGATGCTTTCCTTGCCCAAGCATTGTCTCCAAAGCTCTATGAACCTGACCAGCTTCAGGAACTCAAGGTAGAATTCTTAACTATCTAACTTCCACGGTTTCAGAAATGTATTCCCAGCTGCTCTGAGAATTAACTGCAGTGGCTGATGTGTACGTGCTTGTCTCACTAAAAGTCTTGTGCAATCACCTGTACTTTTCAAAATGTTAATCTCAGTATTTTACAGTGTGGTGGAGATTGATAATCTGTTCTGTTTCATTGATTGCACAGGTAACTGCAGAACCTCTTCTCCCAATTTCTAAAGTTTATGTCTTGGAAACAAATGTGCTTCCACTGAAAAGATACAGAAAAAGAAAGGCTTCTTCCCTATGTGGCTGTTTTTAAATACTAACCTGGGAATTTTCTCATGATTCAGCACTCAAAAGATTTTTGCAGCTATGTGTAGGAATGGCGAAAGACTTTTGTATAAATCTTGAGTGAAAAATGCAGGGGAAAGAAGTAAAACACTTTATGAATACTCATAGAATTGTAAAAATCATTATTTTGTGGATTTTAAAAGTTAAAAGGTAAATGCTGCTGGCTAACTCACAGTTAGTGTGGTATCCTTGTTGTAAATACAGAAGGTAAAGCAGCAAGGAGGAGGTGGCACTTGTTTCCCAAGTGGACACGAGCAGCAATTCTATCCCCCCTCTTCTCAGGAGAAACAGCAATGAAGCTCACACATATTCCAGCTATTAGGCTTTTCCAGGGTATATTTTGTCACTGATACCAGGTCTGCAAGAGGTTTCCTCAAAGCCAGCAAGTGAGTATTTCTCTTCTGTGGGTGACAAGTGGAATTTGAGTTGGGTTCCTGCCTGTAGCACCCTGGCAAGGATTTCTCAGCCTTAATCTGTAAACCAAATCAATCTGCTCGTGGAAACTCAGCACTTAGATGTGAAAGTATTAGTCGGCGCAAGGGGAAGAAAACCAAATCCACTACAAAACTTGTTTAAACTTGTCACAGAGCAAGGAGAAAATTCACATGTTAGCAAGGGTAGTGGCAGAGTTAAGAGAAAGCAAAAACCCTCTTCCCTTATACCAAAGGACGAATGTCAGCAGAAGAATAATAAATCAGTACAACCCATCAGGAAGAGATTTATTTGTCCTCTCCCTCATTGCTGAGAAAAATGTGAAGCACAGTGAACACCCCACGAGTTTGTGCACAGCCACTTGTTTGCTGCAGCACTTGGGACGGTATCGCTGCTGAGGTGGATCATAACCTTATTATGGCCCCTGAGAACAATGGTTTTCAGCGCTGCTTGCGGCTAATTCCTTAAAAGCAGCCTAACCATAGTTCCTGTTTGTCAGGAGAGTTGTTTAGGTGTGTGCTGGAGCTCCTTTTCAGAGTGAGTACTGGACAGCTCATCTGAGAGGACAAGCGTTGCACTTGGCAGAGTGTAGCAGAGTCTTCCAAAGCCTCATGAGAGGGTGGTTCGAGGCATCTGCCCCAAAATCTCCTGAGGCTGAGTAATTGTACCTGTTGGTATCAGCACAAATTCTAATGGCAGTTTTGTAGTCCTGGCTGGGTGCATCAGAGAGCAGCTGTGCATCAGCCACTTGATGTGCCATGTCCATTCTCCAAACACAACACAACAAACGAATCACAGAATCACAGAGTGGTTTGGGTTGGAAGGGACCTTAAAGCTCATCCAGTTCCACCCTCTGCCGTGGGCAGGGACACCTTCCATTGTCCAAGGTTGCTCCTAGCCCTGGCCAGCCTGGCCTTGGACACTTCCAGGGATGGTGAGCCCACAACCTAAAGGACATCTAGGGGTAGAGATTTTGGCAGAGGTATCTATAATTATGGAGTCATCAAAGTCTCGCCTCTCTTTAAGATCTGATGCAAAGAGGAGGAAACTCACTGTGAAAATTGCTGGTCTTAGAGACCTAAGAAAGGAATTCACAGTGAAAATATTCTTTCCATCCCAACACAAAACAAATGACTAGTGATAGACAGCAGACAATATTTTGGTTTAATAGACATTGTTTTATTTTTCAATCACAAAGAAATGCAGATAACTTCTATAAGATATGTTGGTTAGCTGGAAGATGCAGTATTTCCTCAGGGTTGTTACTGTCTTCACATGAAGCTGCTTGTGAATACAGACAGAAGGAACAGCTGAGTTTGAACCCAGCTGTCTGCAAAATGAGCTTGATAGTCTTGGGGCCCTTAAAGGTTGCTCGTGCATAAGGAAAGTAATGGAGTTTAATTTTAAAGTTTAATACCAAGGTCTTGAAAATGTTCCCAAGAAAGGGCTGATATTTTGAGAAGTATTTCAGAGAACACCAGTAGTGATATTTTCTTATGCCAGAGCTAAAAATACACTTGCTGCAAGCCAGTCCTTTTTTTCTTCTACCATCAGCTATTATTCACCATTTAATTTTACCTTTGTGTCTCTATCCTGCATCCTAAATAAAACTGTTGTATGCATAAACACTGCCTTGTTATTAAGAGTTGTGTTCTCACAGAAAAATCTTGAATCAAGCTAATAGAAAATCCATTATAAAGGAGTTGGAAAGGAAATGTGTTACATGGGAAGGAAAATGGAATGCTGGCATTGAGCTCATTCCTGAAACGTTCTACAGCACATCTCAGAAGCACATAATTAATTTGGAATAAAATTTTTAATGAAGTTTTCTACTGCTGATTTCCTATGAGTGTCTGTAGAAATAGTTTCTTGCACTTTGTTGAGAAAATAGAGGGGTTTGGGTTTATCTCTGGTCTCCAGAGCGGATGGATGGAACCACAGGCTTCCTGAGGATTGCAGCTCCTCATGCACAGGCGAGAGGTTCCGGTGCACTCTTCTACTCCAGCGTGTGAAAAGTCTGGATGAACCTTTTAAAATCCCTCTGTTTGCAAGAGTTTTGCAAAGAATGTAACTGTTGGAATAGCTTTGAATTACATTTCACAACGATCTTCCTGACTTTCCCCTGTTTTCCAACAGATTGAGAATCTGGACCCCCGTGGAATCCAGCTGTCTGCTCTATTTATGAGCGGGGTGGACATGGCTCTTTTTGCCAACGACGCTTGCGGGCAGCCGATTCCGTGGGAGCACTGCTGTCCCTGGATGTATTTTGATGGGAAGTTATTCCAGACCAAGCTCATCAAAGCAAGCCGGGAGAAAGTTCCGCTCATCGACCTCTGTGATGGTCAGGTGTGTAGTTCAGCAGGGTGAGGGAGTGCTCCTTGTGCCCAGAAGGGTTGGATGGGGTGGGTTTATTATGGTTTACGTCACATGTCACGTCTCTGCTTTGAAAGGAAAATACAAAGTGAATGGCTATTGGGTGATTTTTGCTTTTAATCCCTTATGTCTCAATGATTGGGATGGCATTTGGGCAGATTTGGAAGAAGAGGCATCAACTTAAATTTCATTTTTTTTCTCTCTGGAAGCTGAAACTTAAATGCCACGCTGAGTGGACAAGTTGGAAACACTCTGCTCATTTGTTCAAGTCCTGCCTTTTTGGGTCAGGCTGTCCCAGAGGACTAAGGACTAAGCTGCACTGGGTGTACAGTGAAAGAAAACTGGTGGTTTCTAACTGATTTTACAGGCTGTGAAGTAATTCTTGAGGTCCTTTAGCTTTTCACATTTCTTACAATCTTAAAATACAGATGTAGGAGTTTTTTGTTGTATCTAAATCATTCAAAATTATTATCTAACTGTAAAATCAAAAAACTGATAAAAATCAACAGTTTACTGTATGACCAAAATTTTTTTTTTTTAATTTTAATTTTTTGGGAGGTATGAAATCATATCCTTCCTCATTTCTGACTCGAGGGAAGCTGATCTTAGCTTGGCTACTGATGGTGGCTGTGGTCCTTCTCAGGCTTGTAACCCTCCAGGCATGTTTCAGCCTGTCTGCACAGACTCTGGTTTGCAGTCCAGGTTTAGGATGATGATTCTGTCTCTGTTCTTCTATGATTTTGCTTTCTTCTTTGAATTTGTTGTGTAAATGCAGTTTTATACAATCTGAAAGAAAATTTTAATATCCCTCTGTGACCTTCTCTTTATTCCTAGGCTGAGCAGGCAGCCAAGGTTGAAAAGATGCGTCAGAGCATCCTAGAAGGATTAAATTTCTCCAGGCAGAACCATCCTCTCCCTTTCCCACCTCCACCTGCCATGCCTTTCTATCCAGCTTCTATGTATCCTCGACACTTTGGGCCAGTCCCACCACCTCAGGGCAGGGGGAGAGGCTTTGCTGGTAAGTGATGGGACAGCGGTGCCACACACATTACCTTACCTTGCACACTCCCAGAACTACAAACCCGTTTCCCTGTTCCATTTCACAGAGAAAACACATAAAAGCTTGTGTTGGCAGGTGCCAAGGACTGTATTTTGGAGTTACTTTTATCAGCCGTAGCCCAGTGATACGGAATGGGCGTGTTTCCATCAGGATTTCAGTAACTGTGCCAGATGAAAATATTTTTACTGCTATTGTAGAACTAGAAAAAAGAGGAATGGATGGACGCTGGGTGTTATGAAAAGGCTCTGACTTGCACAGTGCATTGCTTCAAAATGTTTATAAATTAATGGACACGGTTTAACTGTCAGGGTTGGACAGCCTTTCACCCTCCCCACCCCTCTGTGTTTTGCTACAGTCATTTAACCATTGGCACCCTCGAGTGTAAATACTGACACAACCATTCCTAGGATTGCTCCCTTCCTCAGAGTCTCTCTGTCCCAAGGCCCATCGGTGTGTGGATATGGACACAGGCATTCCCGGGGTGCCACGACTGTAGCCACCAGAGCTCACTGCCAACAAATTGCCCCAAGCCTTTACACCACCACAGAAATTGGGATCCCGTTGCAAGCCCAGGGTCGAGGCGAGCTCTTTGGACAAGGGACACCGTGCTGGCTGAGGCGGCAGGACAGCTTTGGCCAGGGCTCCCTCGGTGTGGTGGCGCAGCATCACCCACAGGAGCCCGCGGGAGCACCGCCCTCCTGGCTGGCTCCGGAAGGGTGGAAGGAGGCAGCAACCTCTCTGCTGGGGCCTTCCCAGATGCCTGGCCCCCTCACAGCTTTTCCCCTGTCTTTCTTTACCCTGGGTCTAACAGGAGTCTATGGCTTCGGAGGCCCTTATGGGGAAACAGTAGCCACAGGCGCTTACCGGGCCTTCCGGGTGGCGGCAGCGGCAGGACACTCCGGAGCCTTCTCTGGCAATGACAGCAACAGGACTAGCAAGTTTCAGGGCGGTAATTATACCCAAAACCCTTTTCTTAGAGCTTCTGGCAACGGCTTCCCTCCACTTTGTACGGTTTGGTCTGAGGCTTTCCTTCTGACTCCCTGTCTCCCTAACTGTCTCAGCTTCCCTCTCCAGAGCCTGCTGTCTGCTCTGCTCTACGTCCCTGCCGCCAGCCTCCCCTCACACCTAGAAACCCTGCTCCGAGTCAGGAGAGCCCAGAAACCCAATGGGGTGGGCTGGCTCCTGTGCCCAAAAAGCGAGGGGGGATCTGTAACCCACTGGACTCTGCCTCACCCTATTAACAGGCGTTTTCCAAAATCCGAGGCAGTTGAGCTTTTTGCAAAAACCCAGTGTAGACATGAGTGACTTTACTGTTACTGCTGATCCCTTCCCTGCTGGCATCAGTGCTGGCATGGACACAGGAGTACGATTTAGTTCCCCTACCAATGTGCCCGTTGCTTAGATCCCGTGCGAGGTGGGATGATGGAAACCTGTTGATTCCAATCCCCCGTTCAGGGTAATTTTTTCCTATTTATTTAGCTGTTCTTTCTGGCCTCTGAGCTTTTATCCTAAGAGCAAACATACCTCTAATGCTTCATGTGAATAACTCTACCCCTGCAAACCATCTGCATTTCGAGCTGAAGGACTTGCACAGGGAAGTAGGAACCTTCTGGATGTAATCAGTAGTGTAGTTCCCAGCCTATTAACGTTTGGAGACTAATTGTGGCTGCATAAATGCTGTGGTTTGTAACCCTTTTGGTGCTGATGGTCTTACCAGTAACATCTGGCTCAGTCCCACTTACACGGATTTCTTAAAATACATGTTATGCCCCAGAGTTGAATTTTAAGGGCAAAACACCGGTATTAAGACATAAGCAACTTGAACAGCAGCTACAGTTGCATTTTAGACAATTGCAATTTTAGCTGCTTTCTTGGAAGGGGAAGGATAAACCCACCTTCTACACCCAGATCAATTTAAATGCTACATTTTTATGGCAACTTAGTACAGCTAATCTTGCCTAGTAAGTTCTTTACTGCAAATATAATCTGTGTGGTTTATGCTGATACTTGGTGTTGGCTAAAAAGTGCCTCGAACCTACAAGAATTACTTCTTCATTAGGAGTGCAGGAAAGAAAACAATCTTCAGCCAGCTTGTAAAGTTCCCCTTGTTTCTTGAGGCTTATCTCAAGTATATTTGTAATCACTGAAACTGAAGCACTCATACTAGTTAATTTTTCTTTTCAGAATTCATATCTGTCTTTAAAAAAAAGTGGTGGGGGGAAAACAGATTCTTGGAGTTCTAACACTTCTGAAATACCACAACATGAGCAACAGTCTCACAGTATCCATAGGGGAAATGGGATATGTGGTGAAATCTGGGCAAAGCAGCTTTCCATTCATTTGGAACTTTTACTGTGATGATTGTGAAGATCAAGGTTTGGTTTTGCTTTTATGTGCAGGAGTCCAACCTATTCCTTCTCAGGGAGGGAAACTTGAAATTGCCGGCACTGTAGTCGGCCATTGGGCTGGAAGCAGACGTGGACGAGGGGGGAGAGGGCCATTTCCTCTGCAGGTGGTGTCCGTGGGAGGACCAGCCAGAGGGTAAGTGCCAGCCTGGCAACGTGCTTCTCACGTGGGATTTAATGACTGGGGGAAACAAGGAAAACAGGGAAAAGTAAAGACTGCATATGGCACGTTTTAGGACACCTGAGGTCGATTATACCCGCTGAATACTCGAGAAAAGCATTGACATTCCTTTTAAAATTTTCTTAATCAGTTATTCAGGTAGGTGTAAGCATCTTTGAGCAAATAAAATTCATACTCAGTCTGAGATTAATACACACACAGAGGTTTGTTTTGCATGAGGAAATGAGTGAGGGGCCTTCTCTTCCCTGAAATCAATAAACACATTACATTCAATTCCCTTCTGTTTCATGGCAGGACATTTTCTAAGAAGCATGATAACATTTTTAATAACTACATTAGGTGATTCTTCCGTGAAGCAGAAAACACCTAAAGGACACTTCTAGGGTTAATAGTTCTCTGTTACAGTCATGGTGGGAGTTGTGCTTAAAAGAATAATAATTTCTTCAGCTCTACCACTTCATTGAACTACAGCTGAAGTTACAGGGGCACAGCCTGTCTGAGAAACAAATACTTTATTACAAAAATATGTAGTCCATTACTTTTAAGATTATATTTTTTCCATAGGTTTGCTGGTTCTGTGCCTTACAGAACTCTTACCTTTTAATTAAGGTTCTTTCTGTTACAGGAGGCAATTCCAAAGTAATGTGATTCAGATATTATGTCTAAGTCTGCACTGCATGAATTCCTCTCTCTGTTTACATACTCGAACATGCACTGTAAAGCTTCATGCTGGAGTCAGCCAGAGCTGTTGGAATGCTTGTCTTGTAGGGCTGAGTGAGGAGATGGGTTGATCTGAAGCCCTGGGAGAATGGAGCTGCTGTGGGGATGGGGAGAGGCAGGAGCAGCAGAAATGAAGATGAGCAGGTTCATCAACAGCACACAGCACTGATGTGAGAACAGGGCTGACCTCTGAGGGCACTTAATTCTCTAGAATGAGATTTAGTTGCCAAAACAAAAGCACTGAGTGTTGTTTTAGTTGTTTCAGACAACTGACAGGTACCTGTGTGGGCTTCATGAGGCTCCTGTGCTGCTCCAGAGCAGCAGCTGGAGACAGTGGGAATGAGCAAAGGTGAGGAGGCACGAGGCTCTTTTGGGTATCAGTGGACAAAACAACCTTTTTCACTGGTGAAATGGGGTTATTGGAAGATCATCAGTTCTATTTTTCATGAGGATGCATGAACAGGAGAGTGGCCTCCTGCAGAGCTGGTTGCTTCTCTCAGTGACCTGCACTCTGTCTGCCAGAGCACCCCGAGGGGGGTCTGGGGCACCCTCAGGCTCAGAGCTGCCTTACACTGACACACACATGCAGGATAGAAGTTCCTCCATCTCCTGTGCCTGCTGCCCTGGAGAGCCTGTTCAGTGCTCTGTGGGAAGAACCTTTCCCTGATATCCAACCTAAACTTCCAGGCACTTCAGTGACTGGAGTCCCTGTTGGCAGAGGTTGTTTCCTACCAAAGATCAGGACTAGGAAACAGCACAGGAGGTTGTCTCAGTTGATTGCCTAGTCCTGCACACTTGTATTGCATTTTTATCTGTTCCAGCAGAGGGATCGAGTCAGGCTTGTTCACCCCATTGTCTCACGTCTCTGCAACACTGAGCTCAGATGTTCTTATTGTGTAAAATTACACCAGCTGTTTAGTATTGGCTTGGACCCAGCAATGTATTCTCTGTGATTTCCTGAGGGGGAAAAGTCTTGCTCAGCTCCTTAAAGGGCACACTTTCACCTTGTACAAAGAAGAGCCAGTGGGCAGGGTGAGGAAGGAAGGCAGTGAGGGTGACTCAGATGCAAACCACAGCTTTTCCCTCTTCATTCTCTGCTCTTGCAGAATTTAGTTTCTTAGTGCCCAGTGTGGGCATTCACAGCGTGTATGAAGAGACTGCAGGGGGGCACAGGCCAGTGTCACCTGCTGGAATCAGGCAGCAGATCCAGAGGAAACACAGAGCAATTCCACACTTCTAGAGCAATCCAGTATTTTTAGTAAAGAAAACAAAAGGCGTTTTTAGGGGAGTGGTATCCTTGGCATAATGATAGGGAAGTTGAGTTGCTACAGTTGATGGGACTAAAACAGTTTTAGCTGAATCATGAAATCATGAGGGTTGGAAAAGACCTCTGGGATTGTCACATCCAGCCACCAACCCAACACCACCACCATGTTCACCACTGAACCGTGTCCCCAAGTGCCACAGACACACGTTTTTTGAACACTTGTAGTGGTGACTCCAGCACTGCTCTGGGCAGCCTGTGCTATGTAATCTAAACCTTCCCTGGCCCAACTTGAGGCCAAAGGGGAGAAAGTTTGTTTTGATCTGATCTAATCTGTACTGAATCACACCAAAAATTACCACCCAGTGTGTCCAAGATGGGAGCCTCCATAGGAAAGCATCCCAGCTTATCAATTGCCACACACCAGATAGGGATGATAACTCCTTTATCCCCTCAGTTTCGTAGATAATTTTGTATTCTCCCATCAAAACCAAAGCAGTTTTGTATTTTGCCTCACTTTATCAAATCCTGTATGTCTCATGTGTTTATATGGGGGAAGTATTACTAAATGGGGAAAATGACCTTGTAAGTGGTTCAAATTGCTATTTTTGTAAGGTGAAAGTATTTTGAGCTCTGGTTTTAAAGTGCCGTGAGGATAATTCGACACTTGGATAATATTTCTGTAGAGCTTGAAAATATCATTCATTGTTTTTCTAGAAAGGAAATACAGAAAAGGGCATTTTATCACTCCAAACCCAAGAGGTTTGGTGGGTTTGATACACTTGGGAGCAGTAGAACCCTGTGATTCAGAATTAATCATCTTGCTTCTCTAAAGACTTGTGGTTAAGGAAGTAAAGACAGTAAAGCTAGGGAAAAAAATATTCCAGCAAAATGAAATGTAAAAGGAGAGTTGTAAACAAAGCTCTGATGTGTGATTGTTTTGTCCTCTCTCCCCCACCCCTGCAGGCGTCCCAGAGGAGTTATCTCCACTCCGGTGATAAGAACTTTCGGAAGAGGCGGAAGGTACTATGGGCGAGGTTATAAAAGCCAGGGAGCAATTCAGGTAATGAAGCCAAGTGCCTGACTTGGCTCTGTGGGACAGGCTGGGCTGGGCTGGACTCCAGACCAGCTCAAAGTGGCTGTGAGCTGTACCAGGACAAGCTGGTGTCACATCTCACTTAAGGCAAACTTTGCTTCTAAAGACACACGTGGAAGAATGTGCTTTGACATGAATCCTGTGCCTACGCTGCTCGAACCAGTCGTGGGAGTAGAAGAAAATTTAGGAAAGTGGGAGAAATACAAAGCTGAAACAAATTAGCAGTTCTGTTCCCGCCCCCACTCTTCCCCAGTTCCTTTTCTGGGACCGTGGTCCAACCTCACGAAGGAAAGTTTGTAGCAGTGAAGGATCTTTGCTGCTGGAGGGCTCCAGATAAAAGAGCTGGCTCTAAACTTCTTGGGAATAGCAGAGCAGCCTTTGCCCCATGAGCACACAGGTTCCTTTCTGGTGACAACCTGAGAGGCGTCCATGGATCACGACTTTGGTCTTTTCCATGGATCCTTCAAGTACAGCTGGCCGAGCTGCTGATCTCTGTGATCTCTGCCTGTTGCTTCACAGTTCTGTTTTCTTCCCTTTTCCATCGTTCTGGCTGCTCTGCAGTTTGGACTGTGACGGAGGAATGAGTAGGAAATAGCTGGAAGAACTTCCACAATAAATATGTCATACGGACATGCCATTTGTCAGGGACACCTGAGAGTAGGGGGTGTTTGCAGGTGCCAGACAGTAAGAATGTTCTCCAGTAGATAATGAAGCAACTCAACTTCCAGTAAAACTTACTGGTTTTTAGGTGTAAAAATTCAGATGCTTCACTTCCTAGTTAAATTCCTGTGTACACAGACTCTGTATAATTTACAAATGTACCTCTGGATCTGAAACTTTACATCTTTAAATAGAAGAGAAACCACTGTGTTAGTGATAGAATATCTAATTTCTGAGTACTTTAACCTTTGAAATAAAGGAAAGCCTGAAAAGTTCCTCCCAAATATTCCAGGCTCTTACTGTAGGTGTACATATGGAAGTGTAGTTCAGGTAGTACCTGCACGTGTGTTGGCAAGTGACATCAAGGTTGGATATTCACATTTTTATTAACGATGTGTAATTTGGATGGTAAATACTTGTGATCACAAGGACCTGTGTGCAAAATTATGCCTGGAGAAGAAAGATAAATGGCATTTTCTGTGGACTGGTCCCTAGCTCTCTACATTTTGTGGTCATCAAGTCCCTCTAGTATGTTCCTTATACAGGAAGAGGACAAAAGGTGGTTTGAAATGCACGTGGCAGGGAGAACTTGGGCAACTTCATGTGTAGTGAGTAGACTGTGATGCCCAGTTCAGGCTGAGTGGTGCTGGTGTACCCTGAGCTCACAGCCCCAGGATGAGGAGGGGTGTCTTTGGGGCCAGGCTCACCCCGAGTCACCCCCTCCCCAAGGGCTGGGAATGTGACCAAAATGAGCTGTTTGTATTTACCAAACACATCAGACTGGCCTTTTTTTGTGCCAGCGTGAGACCTTTCCCTCTTGGTCTGTAAAGAAACAACAGCATGTCTTGAGAGCTGGGCGCAGTAACCCCTAGAAAGAGGCCCACGGACACGGGTGATCAGTGTCCCTTGTCCTCAGGGGCCAGTCCCGTACCTGTGCAGTGGGACTGAGAGTTGCTGGTGATTATCTGGGTAATGAGAATGCTGGAGAACAGCAGTGCTGCCTTACCTGCAAAATCCTTCTGTAGAATCCTTCAGCAGCTCAGTGCAGCACTAACACGCTGTTCTGGCAGGTGACAGGGGAGGGGTTTGCTGCTGTTTGAGGTGTATCAGGTGTCCCTGTCTTAAGCCATTTCGTAGCACTTGATTTTGTGAACAGCGTGACAGAGCAGTGCGCTGCTTCCTAGCAGCCCAACCTGCTTAATTTGGGTTTCTTGAAAGCCTGTTATGTTTCTGGAATGCTAAGATTAATTCTAGATACTTTATAACTAATTGTATGCCGCATCAGTCTGGGTTTTATGGCTCTACTCACTCTTGTAAGATTTTACTATATGCTTTTTGTATGAATCCCCTCTCCTAACGTTGGAAGCATATAGCCTGGTGCAGAGAACACTGCATGGTGCCTCTGCACTCCTGTAAATGCTGTCTGAAAACAGTGGGGCTTGAATTTGAGCTACATGTAACCCTGCCATTAAATCACAGCACACATGAACCAAGAAGCAGAGTTCAGCTGTACCTCGACTCTCAGTTTTGGTGTTTCCAGACATTTATGTACCTCTGATGTTGTGAAATAAGTGAAACATCGTGGTTGAAACTAAGGCATTTGCCCCAGGAGCATCGGGAGGCTCTGGGGAACACTGAAAATCCTCTCCTCCGTGTATTTTTTTTTTTTGGTCACTTCTTTCAGCAAATGCCTAATATTTCATGTTCACTCACGATCCTGCGCCCTGCATGCTGCCTGTTGTGGCATCCTTGTATCAGACTGTACAGTTATAGATTTATATACATTTATAGCACTGGTTCTTCAGTAATTCTCTTTTTTTTTTTAACAACTAGGGCAAACCTCCTTACGCTGCTTCAGCAGAAGAAGTAGCCAAAGAACTTAAGTCAAAATCCGAGGAATCTAAATCCTCACTTGTGTCTTCAGATGGATCCCTGGCTGAAAATGGAGTTGTGACTGAGGAAAAACCAGCTTCCCAGATGAATGGGAATACAGGAGACATCAGGGCTTCCAATCAGTCTGAAAGTGCCTTGAGTAATGACTCTAAAATGTGCAATACGAATCCTCACTTAAATGCACTAAATGCAGACAGTGTTTGCCATAAAGATGATGCTCTTGAGGCCACTGTCTTAAAAAAAGAAGAGTAAACTTATTTTTTATAGAGGGTGAAGGATGTTGGGAAGGGTCAGGATTAGGAATATCTGGAAAGAAAGAGAGCCTACAGTTACGTACATTTTTTCCTTTCCGTAAGAGAAAAATGAGGACTTTGGAAATTCGGATCCCTCTTTGATGTCAGAGATTTAAACAACACATTTTTTTAGTTTTAACCAGTTGTAGTCAAAATGCTACAATAAAACAAAAGCAAAAAAAAAAAAAAAAAAAAAAAAAAAAAAAAAAAAAAAAAAAAAAAAAAAAAAAAAAAAAAAAAAAAAAAAAAAAAAAAAAAAAAAAAAAAGAGAATGAAGAGCATTTGACTCCCGCACTTAAAATGAAGTATACATAAAGTTTAAACTGGTTATGACAAAAGCTTGTAGTTTTGTTTTTTGAAATATAAAGAAAACAAATTTTGGCAGTCTTTAAGTATATATAGCTTAAAACTATAATTTTTAGTACTTGGCACCATATGTATGCCATTATATTTGATTTTGCATTACTGTGTCACAATAAAGCTTTCTTTAAGGCTTTGATTTCATGATTATGGGGGGAAAAAGGCACAACCACAGTTTTTTCTTTCTGAAATCTCATCACCGTTGCCGTGGTTCTTTTGTGTTTAAAAAAAAATGTGCAAAACTCTCGAAACTACCAATTCTCAGTAACACTTGCAGTTCTGCTGAGTTCAATAGACATCATACATATACGTTACGAGCGAGTTAAACGGAGATATAAACTTGAAATCATAGAAGATGCAAACGACCTTTCAAAACAAACACAATGTGTTGGGAAACTTTTTGTGACTAATACCATGCATCCGTGATCAATGAACTATGTGGTTTTGAATCAGACGTAGACCATTAGTACTACTATTTGAGCTAAACTTCTGCATGGTTCATGATTTTTAAAGTGTGTAGTTAATATTATGCATGTTATTGTCCTCTTTCTTCCATTCTTACAAGTACTGTGCCCATTTGCAAAACAAAAAAAGCTAATAATCAGTAATAGTCCTATAAAAGATGTTAACTATGTTTAGTCATTGACTGATCTTGCTCTAACCTTAAAATTTTGTGATTATTGACCTCTGTTGCATTTATTCTAAAACTTTAAAAAAAAAAAATTATCTAGCCGTTTTGAATATCAACGTTACCCTGGTGTACTCATTGCTGTATGCATTATTGTTCTCTGTTGCTGTTTTATGCCTTCATATTAGCAAATATGAAATTCTGTGAAAAACAAAAAAAAAAAAAACGCTTTGATCTTCAAAAAAAAAAAAAAAGTACCCCCCTTCTGTAGCAGGAAACAAATGGCTTGTTCTTGAGAACTTTCCCATCAAGAATTTAGTATAAGCAAATATACCTGTATCATTTTGATGTTTTTGTTAGTGTTTCCAAACTTAATGTACTTCAAAATCAGAATCATTTCTTTATATTCGTTTTCATATAATTCTCCTGATGCTCTTCATCACACATTAGTGATCAGAAATGAGGTGTAATTCCCCATTCCCTGCCCGCCAGAGCTAAGTAGGTATCTTAATGTAAGTTGAAGGGAGTTCTGCCCCAACTCATGGATTGTGCAAGAATGAACTACTGTTGGGTTTGGCTGGTTGTAGATGGATTGTGGTGTGGTGTCTTTGAAGGCTATTGAATGCAACTTACAGTGCTTAATAAAAATCTTTATTCTTTTAGTATAAAATACTGTATGCCTTTTTTGTCAAGTATTTTTTTAATTAACGTGTAAATAAAAGTTTTTCCTACGCCCAAGTCAAGTGGTTGAGTTGGCAGGCTCCGTGGTGCCCTCCCAGAAGGCGGAGGAGGGAAGCACAGCCTTTGGTGTCTTCCCTGGAAGTGTCCAAGGCCAGGTTGGACAGGGCTTGGAGCAGCCTGGGATAGTGGAAGGTGTCCCTGCCCATGGCAGGGGGTGGGACTGGATGATCTTTAACCCTTCCGACCCAAACCATTCTGTGATTTCCCTGCTGCTCGGGGACACTGCACTGGTCGGAGTCGAGTTCTGGCCTTGCTGGTGTGTGCAGCTCCTTCAGGTGTCCCTTTTAAATGTCAGATGGTCGATGAGTTGCAAATAAGACAGAAATAATGGAGGAAGTTGTTGAAGGAAGAGAAAGATCAGCCCCAGGTGCTTGCAGAGCTTGATACACAAGGTGGTGGGCAGTGCCTGTGCCAGCTCTGCAGAGCTGGGAACTCTGGTACAGGGGTTTGCTCTACATCACAGATCCACCTGACAGAACGTGAGGAGCTGCACATTTACACCTTGGTGCATGTTGCAATAACCATCAACAAACCCAAGGGTGCATGGGAAGGTCCCTGGTGTGCCCGTGCCAGTCCCCACTGTGTGGGTAGTGGCTGCTGTCCTCAGTGTCAGTGTGCCAGCAGCGTTTCCCATGGGCAGCCGAGGTGTGACGAGCTGATCACCACAGTGTGACCAGGATTAGGGTGTGAGGGTCCAGCAGGTGAACAAGTTCATGGCCCCAGTGCCAGGTGCTGCATTTGGGTTTTCCAGAAATCCTGCTGAGGAAGTTTGGCTCGTGTAGCCTGTGTATCCTTGACCTGGAGGCCGAGTTTTCTGTGTGCCCCGTTTTAAGCCCTGCCATTGCCCTGGAGGGACTGAGGCCACACTGGGGTGGGAGGAGGAGCCTTCGGCTGTCGGGAGGTGGCGGTGGAAGCAGCAGCGGGAGGATCCCTCAGGTACCTGTTTCCTGGCTGGGAGCATCGTGGTCAGACCCAGGGACAGCACCAGGATGTGTTTTTGCTGCCTGCAGTGGGTCAGCACTGGGGGATTGGGGTGGTGTGGTGGGTGCGCGGGGACTGAGCAGGGATGGATGGGCTGGGAGAGCCCAGTGATCCTCTGTGAATCTGCCCCCTGGGGACAAGGACAGGGCTGCCTGCCTGCTGTCCTGAGCTGCTTCCTGTAGGAGAGAGGCGTTCTGCGTTCATGGAGTCCTCTCCCAAAGAGTTAGACTGACCCTGCGATCAATGATCTTGTGGAATGATCAGGGAATGCTGCCTGGGCTTGGTCCTGAAGAACACATTTTACACTTGAGTTTATGAATAGGATAGAAGAGAATTGATAGGATAGGATAGGATAGGATAGGATAGGATAGGATAGGATAGGATAGGATATAGGATAGGGTATGGGATAGGATAGGATGGATAGGATAGGATGGATAGGATAGGATAGGATAGGATAGGATAGGATAGGATAGGATAGGATAGGATAGGATAGGATAGGATAGGATAGGATACGGGATAGGATACGGGATAGGATAGCATAGCATAGCATAGCATAGGATATTTCAGTTGGAAAGGACCCACAAGGATCATTAAGTCCAACTGCTGGACCCCTTCAGGGCAGACCAAAAATTAAAGCACATTATTAAGGGCATTGTTCAAATGCCCCTTGAACACTGACGGTTCGGGGCACCGACCACCTCTCCAGGAAGCCTGTTCCAGGGTCTGACCGCCCTCGCGGGACGGAGCGCTCCCTGTGTGACCAATATCTCCTTATGCAGCTCCCAGACAAGAGTTAAACCGGCAGAATGCGCCGTTTGGGCGGGACCTGTGGCCGCTGCCCGTGCCGTGCCAGCGGCGGCAGCATCCGGGCTCTCGCTGGCTGCGCTCGCTAATTGTTTGTGTTAACGAGCGGCGACCATCGGCGTGTGCCGCGGCCGAGCCCCGGCCGTGCCCGGAGCACTGGCGGCCCTCCCGAGCACCGGGCAGGGGCTGAGCCTGGGATGGTGGAAGGGCGATCGCAGCGGGGGCGATTGGGGGCTCGGGGGGGCGCAGAGCCGGCGGCCCAGCCCGGGTGTTGTTCGCAGCTCTCCCGTGTGACGGGGCAGCGCCGTGTCACGGGCGGAGGGGGCGGAGGGTGAAGGCCTCCCCCCCATGTCATTTCCCTTCCCTCCTGCCGGGCAGGGCCGAGCGGGGCCGTGACGGGGCCGCGATGGGGCCGCGCTGTCGCTGCATCGCTGCGTCACGGGCAGGGCCCTCGGCCCGGCAGAGCCGCGGGGTGTTCCCGGTCCCTGCCAAAAACCCTCGGAGCGGTGAGTCCCCCGGGGCTGTGGGAAGCCCTGCAGGAGGCAGGGCCGCGGGGGCCCGTTCTCGCAGCGTCGCTGAACAGCTCTGGTGACACCCGGGATGGAGCCGGGATGGAGCCCCAGCGCCTGGTCCCTGCGAGGAGGGGGAGCGGGACCGCCCAGCCATCGCTCCTGTGCCGGGAGATGAGTGAGGCCGGGACGCGTCTTTCAGTGCTGTCAGCGCCCCAAAGCAACGTTATCCAGCCCCACAATTCCCCAGCCCCGCAGTCCCCCAGCCCCAGGGCAGGTGGCAGCTCCCTCGGTGGTGACAGTCCGTGTAATCCTTTGGATTGCACCCAAAGCCTGCAAAGTGAACCGAGTCCGGTCGGGTACGACCACACCGGGGGGCAGGGGCGGCTCCCACCCCATGGGATGAAGAGGGGTGTGGAGTGGGACAGTGCAGAATCCCAGAAGATAAGGGGCAGATGCGTGTGCCTCAAACACTGATAGCTGTGGAGCCACCCAAGGACTGCTGGGAATAACCAAGGATTGTTGGTCCTAATACACCACGGGAAAGAACAAGCTGTGGCTGGAGAAGGGGCCGTGTGGAGGTAGGGCAGCACTTTTCGTGGGCAAACATCCTTGTTCTAGTTCCTGGAGATAAGCACAACACAGCACAGCACGAGCACAGGAGTGAGGCCGAGAAGTGGGCATGGACTGCAGGGGATCAAAAGCACCCGAGACCCTCAAAGCCCTCTGGCTCGTTTCCAGAAAGGTCTGAAAGAACGGACTGCAAGGGATGGGATGGAAGCAGAGGGCTGGCTGGCAGGATTCTGGCTGCTGAAGGAGGGTGGCATTGGAACCAGGTGTCTCCTGGGGGTGCCAGCCCAGAGGCACAGCACTCACAGGTGCGTGGAGCCTTCCAAAATGGTCGAGGGCAGACCCTTTGCTGTGGGGCTGGAGGGGTTGATCACCCCAGGTTCCCAGCTGCCTTTCCAGGTGCTGCATTGAGGTGGTGCCCCGGGGTGAAGCCTCAGTGGGTTCACCCTCAGCAGTGGATTCTGCTGTTCGTGTCAGACCACGCAGCACCTCCTCGGTAAAGTCCCCAGGAGAGCGTCCCCGGGTGCCACCCCTGGCAAAGCTCCTCCCTGCCCACGCCCCTTGGCTTCGGGTCTCTGTC